ACAAATCAATACACTACAGACACACAATCTACTGTACTACACACAACCCAGACATTATATAATTATTGTCTTAGTAATTATGATTATCAGCCTAGTAATAATGTAATCTATACAGGCAATGTTGAAACTATAATGAGTATTACTTACTATAACATTTAATTACTAAAATATTCTATAATATTATAAAGATCATGTCATTATAAATAACTGATCATACTATGGACAAATGTTAGAAAGATTGAGAAAGCAAACACTACTCATTTGCTATTAACATTATAATAGTTTAAATGATTGACACTGTTAACAAGTACACATATGTTATAATATAAATCAAAAAATAACATTTTAGCAATATTATGACTGAACAATTAATGCTCAAAACAAGTGCATATATGCTAAACAGAATATTAAATTGAATAACTAAAACATTTAACATGTATTATAAACAATAATACAAATGCAGACACTATAACAATAACAATAATAACAATAATAATAATAATATTACAGATAGAACTAATGGAACAAATACAGAACAATAAAATAATTAATACATATTATAGTCAAGCAATTATTATGAAACACATCAGATTCAGTAGTTACATGTTGGATATTGTAATTACTTATTAGATATTGAATATAATACACATATCTAAGACATATAGACAAGTACAGATATACACAAGTATAATAAATAACTACAAACCAAAAAAACAATACTATAGAGTGTATAAACTAACTACACACAAAGGAATAATGTTGTAATGTGTAAATACTAACTACAGTACAAGACAAGTGTAAAATTATAATTATTAAACAAATGATACTACTTTACACATTAATACAATTGTGTAAATGTATACTAACAACAAACAAAAGAGTTATATCTCTATTATACTCAAAACAACATAACAATACAACTTAATTATACAGAACATGTTTTTACAGCAGTTGATTACATAATAAATTTTGAAGTTGTAATAGTAACATCAACTGTATAGTGTATATACCTTAACAAACAATTATTAAATTTACATTGTAACAATATAGCTTGTAGGAGCAAAGTATTACACTAATACAGTTAGTACAACAAATAAAAGAATAAAATTATTACAGACACACTTATAATACTGATTACAATAAAAACAATCATAATATAATATGATTAAATAAATAAATAAATAAAAATAAAATGTTTAAGACATTGGATAATATAATATAATATGAAAAACAGACACAAACAAATTACCATATGTTTTCAATAAAAATAAAAATAAAAAAATAAAAAATAAAAATAATATTCATTCATAATTATGAACAATAATTAATAAAAGATAATGAGTGCAAACATAACTTGTATATTGTACATAATACATACTTATCTACTATAACAAACAAAATACACATTATATAAGTTGACAAACATTAATGACAACAAAGATATAATAGTAATGACACATAATACTTATTATCAAACATAACAAACATTACACACTACTTTATAAAACTAATAATTAGAAATCAAACCATGAAAGTGATTACAATTATTATATATAAATATTATATTATAACAATGACAGAAAAACATACAAAAGAAAGTAGTAAACAATTAAACAAATTAAACAAAATATCCAATTCTTTAAAGAAATACCTTCTTGAATTGAAGGGGAGAAAATGAATAATATGCACAAACAATTAATAACTAAATATAAAGAACAGAATGGAAAGTATAACAATACAAACACTACAGAAATACAGATACTATAGAAAACTACAGAAAATAGAATAACAAAATGTACAGATAAGTAATAAAAGTAATAGACAGACATAATGGATAACAAAGGTAAATCATTTAGTATGAAGCAAAATTATGTTGATCAGAATGAATAATGGAAGTCAACACAACACATGATTAAACTTTAAATAAATAATAATTCTACTACAAAACAAATACTCATACTTGGCAAATAATATTAATATAATAATCCAATTAACTTAACAAAGTTTAATATGGAAATAAATAAAATACAGACAATTATCATATCATATAACAAAATAATTCATTAATCCAGACTATAGTTCATGGATAAAAGTGATGAATAACAAAAATAATACTTTAGAACATACATAAAACAATAAATAATATATCCATACAATAATACAAATATAATTGCAATATAATTCATAACTACAACCAAATAGTATACAGATAATAACCATATAAACAAGTATGGAGCACATATATATAAATAAATAAAACTATTAAATTGATTCTTGTACAAATGATTAATTTGCCCTTACTACACAAATACAAGTGTGAACAGTATTATAATATTATGAAATACATCAGATAGATACTAATAAGTATATCTATACAATGATTCAAATAAAATAAATAAAACCAATGTATAAAATGTTTTACCTAGCAAACCAATTAACAAATAAAACATCAAACAAATACTACAATTGTACACAGTACTAGATTAACTAAAGTATGCTAGGAGACAATTATAGTAAACATAATCCAATATATTACTTATATATGGATTGTGTTACAATGTACTATTCTTTACAAAAGAAAAAGTAAAGAACAATAGCTATAATATTTATAAATATTCATGACATTATGATTGTAACAATTCATAATAATATTATAATAAATAATACAAATGCATGTTAGTAATGATTTACAACAGATAATTATGTTGACTATTGAATAAATAATGTGACAGATTACATAGTTACTCAGGATGTGTTAGAAACAATTTACTACAGAATGTAATATTAATAAATTAATATATAAATATAAACAATAGTACAAAGCAATACAAACAGATGATGCATTCATAATATAATACCTATATGATGTACCTAGACACATAGCAAGCTGCCTGTAGCCAGATATAACATCTATGTAACAAATATATGTTAGTATAAAACCTTATTGATTTTAGAATGAAGCAATCTGGCAAAAACAAATATTGTTATTAATATTACAATATACAATCAATGTAAAGTTTTAATCCAAAGACACAAATAAGCTATTACTGAATGCTTAACACATAGACAAACATAGACAAATGCAGACAGTAATGATTAAAGAAGGATATTATTACAATACTGAATATACATTTTACTAGTGTGATTCATTAGTTTTACAGCAAAGTAAAAGGAAATTACTAGTAATACTCAAACAAACTTAATAACAAACAATACAATCAAATAACAAACAATAAAACAAAACAAGCAATTGTATTTATGATTTAAATATACACATATATATACCTACACATGCTAATAAGATTCTGCAGGTCTCTAAAGCATTTACAAATTATTTAATAATATTTACAAATGATCTATTATAATAACAATACTGTTATTGAACAGTATACTATGAACAAACAAACTAATTGAATATACTTAATTAATATAACATTAGACAAACTTAACACAAAGTAGATAACATTCAGAATGGACAGTACACAGAACAGACAGTACATTACTACAATACTAATAATATTATTATTAACTACATCAAGTTATAAACATATTACACAAACAAACAATTATACAATACAGTTATAATGATTAAACTATCTATACATACTGTAAGCAAACATTTTACAAGTCTACTAGACCTAGTAAGAGTTTGAAGGAGAGTGTTAAGATGAGACTACACAAGAGTATGTCTCAGATAATATAAACTACATTACAAACAATAACAAGTAATGATAGAATACATTCTATTATACATTCTACATCTGAGACATACTTATATAGTATATATAGACTAACTAATTAACAGACAATAAAGTAACCCCCTCCTAACAAAAACACTACAAATAGCTTTTTTTAAGGTGTTAAAGAGTCATTTTAAAGAAAATTCTACTATTTATTATAGAGTCATTTTCAGGGTTGTAGAAACTGGTCCATATTAAAGTAAACTATATATGATCTATTTACTTATGTAATTAAGTTACCCACAATACCCACATACCTTCAGAGGCAAGACTATGTAGGTATGTGGTTATCCTTGTAGTTAACTATATAAGGATAACTATATTGTAAGTAACTACAAGTTAACTGTCCAACACTACTACAATTGCTACAGTCTGAGTATACAAAGTCAGGTGATTCTGGGAAATATACTCTACAACCTGAAGAGGACATTGTGGGTGGAAGGAGCTACTTTAAGTTTAGGTGAATGAAAGGAAGTCTTGTTTGTAAGGAAACAGTACAGTACTATACTTCAAGTTATTATCTACTACACAACTGTGTTTGGATCAAGGATGACAAATGCTTCCAAGTGCTTCCAATCTGATGCTCTTAAGATCAAGGTCCACATGGTTCAGATAATAGTACATCAAAACACATAGTATCTGTCAGACAGGCTTAATATTTGCTACTGAAAGCTGTACTTCAAGTACAACCATCTAAAAGTAGAGTAAATTAGAATACTTTAAAAGCTAGTAAGTATAGGTACAACTCAGAAAGTCAAATCTTACTAGTAAAGTTACTGTCTGACAAATATAGCCATATTAAGAAAATCCAAAATTGTGAAGAAGGTTAAGGACAGACATACAGTCATATATATTATAGTACACACTAATTTATGAGAAACAACAAGTGATTTCCATAGTCTAGAAATACTTATGAACTAAGCAAAGATTGGAAGAAAAACTATTGAATCTGATGTTGGAATAGTTAAGTGTTTCCTGTCTTTAAGATGATTTCAAATCCAAGGCAGGCAAAATCTAACCAACAAATAGCAACTGTGGATCCAACAGGTATGAGAATTTGATCTTGGTCCATTACTGCTTGGAAAGTCCACAAGATTTGGTCGAGCTAAAAAGTCTTCAAAGCTGTGTAAGAAAAGCTAGAGGGACTACATGTTACAACAAAATGTTATGTTTCTTCAAAAGAACTCACTGAAAATTGTTTATATTGTTTACACAATGTCGGATTTCAGACTAAGATTCTGACATGACTGTACTTTTGCTCTACACGCGTTCGCCGCCTTCGATAAATCTGGACTGTCTGGCTGTGTAAACCCGAAATTCTGCAATAGTTAAATTCGACGAGATTCGAAAGCTATCACCACCTTCGAGCCTTTCTCCTGCAGCTTTTTTTAAATGTAGTAGCATGCGGCTCCCAAGAAGAGAAATCATGCTTGCACTTCCCAAGATGTAAAAGAGTGAGAGAAATGAAGATCGCTGTACCAGTTCCACAACTATGTTTGGAACAATATTCGCAATACTGCAAATCATAACCCTGTCAAATATTTGAGCATGTGTATTTTAAGAGGGGGGGGGAGGGGGAGAGACAAATACTCACAATACAAAATATGCAACTTGATCGTAAATAATTGTCTTCAATAAGCTTAACCCACGAAAACCCAGAGACTTCCTAATTTCCATAGCCTTATATAGACCAAGGCACAACAAGATAGTCTCATAGCATAATGGAGCAGACCTAAAGACAGTGAGTGTGTATGCAATTATTGAGAAGATCAGTGCTAACCAATAAACTGATCTTGCCCAAACAACAGGATTATTATCGACACAGACTTTCAACCCGTTATAGGCAAAGGCAGTGACAGCTATACTCCACGTGATAAGTGTCTTTGAAAAGGAAAGTATGAACTGTACTTGCAGTTTGCCTTTGATATCCCATAAACCAGATTGGCAAGACTTATTGTAGCATTTAAACCGTATAGAATCCGAATAGACATGACTATCTTTCTATGCGGGGTTTCTGTGGTTTATCGGTATTTGGTATCCGTCTTGGGTTCGAGGTATCATTAGGTCTTACCAAAAGAATATACGGCGCGGATCCTCAGATACAGAATGTCTGTGGAATTCATTCAACGAAATATGCAAAGAGTGAAAGTGAAACTGACAGTCCATGCAAAGGATTATTATCCAATCTAATAATAATGTCATTACAGAATCCAACTTTGCATAATAAGTACGTACCCGATATGGAGCCTCCCCAGTCATAGAACTTGCCTATTTTGCACATTAGTCGAGAGAGAATTATTACAGCCTAATTCACCTCATACATCTTTACAACACAAATTTAGCAAATTCAGTTCGAAGCATATTTAAATAAACGACGAACATAAATGTATTGGCAGTGGTTGACAGATCTTGTAAAGTAGGTTGTGGAAAGGAAGGTAATAAGTTTATGTAGCGATTTGCAAGATGATAACTGACGATATTGGCTCAATATACTCCCCAGAAGCGCGGAGTAGCGTATCTGTACCTTAGTTAATGTCATGCCACTTGAAAGTGAATAAATCATGTCTTACAAAGAAAAAGGCTAAATTGGTTGGACTGAGTGATCTAGACTTGATAACATGCACCTGTTAATACAGTTTCAGTTGAAGGAGCACAAGGACTTACCCAAAAATATTCGACCTGTTGTGAGTCACACAATGAGTTCAGCAACCAAATGTGATATTAGAGAATCGCACCTCCTCTCCCATTGTAATAACTACATATATGGATCAGTGTACAGGTTCAAAAGCTGTCAGTGTAGAACACCTAACTAATGTCGTAGATCAAAACCGCGAGTACCGCAATCTGGGTGTACTGAGTTAGTTCGATTTGTGAGACAAATTCCACAGCCTGGCTAGGATCCAAAGAGGACATTGCGAGGCGAGTAAGGAGAACACTGTTTAGGGCCAAGGTGAAAGTGGAGAGGAGTCTCTGCAGTATATCAGTGCTGCAACTTGGCTTATTACCCACCTTTCTAACTGAGTTTGAACCAAGGACCACAAATGATACAAGGTCATCCTGATTTGATGCCATTAAGAACAAGGCGCACACGCTTCAGACGATGGAACAAGTTCTACTGGTATCGTAACAAAAATGCGAACGCCGGTTCACAATATACATCAATCCCCGAAACTCAAATTAGATGAGAACGCACCGCATCCGCCATATGGACTCTGATATTTACCGTTGAAAGCTATGGCTCTCCTAGCATCAAGCACAACCATCTCAACTGTCGAAACATGTCAGATTTGGGGTAATTGATGAAAGATGAATGGAAGAAAGGAAGTTATACTACTGCGTACAACCGGCCGGCGAAACACCATCGTTGATCATGCGTGATGTGATCATTTAGCATTGTCGTAAAGATTAGTCTCGACGATCGAACGAACAGAGGTAATTTCTTCGTTGCGACTTTCAAGCCACCGCGACAGAGATAAAAATACCGAATCAAAGCGTCTCGAAATCATCTCAATACCTGTTCAATCTTCGAGAGGCAGAGTTGTCAGAGACCTTGATAAGACTTCATATCTAGCGTCGTAATGGCCAGCGGTAAGAAGGTTAGACGACAAAATTAATCTGCACTGCATATGAGCAGGTACATAATACATAATGGAGAAGGACAACACTGACCTCATCTCAGTCAGATGGTGTGAGGCTGAGGTGGCACAAAGCAAAATGAAACATGTCGTTTGAAGGATCAACAACTACCTATTTGGGATAATGATCGCATAGCATACATGTATGTAGAAAACAAGGCGAAAGGGAAATGACCTCAGCTACATAACGCATACAAGGCCAACAGAAGTTGGCTCTGTTGTCTTCAATCGAGCTAGTCGATATAAACTCCACGAACAAAGGAGAAGTACATACATACATGGGATGTTAAATGCTAAACGAACGTAGGCATAGTACAGTATCAAACACCCTATGTGCATACAAGTCGTAATAATCCACCATATCAAAGAGAGAGAAAATACTACAAATATCTAATAAAAAGACAGGAGCTGCCAGGTGACACTGAGGTAAAAAAAGACAGGACGGGAGGCATGATAGAGGTAGGAGTGATGCATTTGCAAACATGGGGTAAGAATCGACAAGAGCGAACCGCGGTAAAGGACAGATAGACCCGAGAGGCAGGGAGCCAATTAATCAGAAAAAAAGAGTGACAGAAAAGCAATACGAAAACCCATCTAAAGTAATACCATTTTTCAATTGCGCGATTCCGAGGTGAAGGAGAAGAGAGAATTATCAAGCCATGCGCAATCCAAAAAATGTTCGCATATTAATTATTATTTTCCTTTTCCGAGAGTTGGTTTGATTTGAAGTATTCGATTTGGCCTGGTTCGTTTTCTGGTGTCGCGAAGAAACCAAGAAGAAAAATGAGTTTTCGTTTCCGAAGAAGGGTTAGAATTTCCCCATAACGAGGACACGATAAAGCGCATTGGCATCTTCATAGTTGGCATGTGCGAGCGCAAAGTGAGCCATCTCCGCCGACTCAACGTCCGAGCTCGGATCGATGAGACCGAGCTTGATCAGCGAGTTATAGAACCGGCACAACTGAAAGTTTCGGGGTCAGCGGGGGATATTAAAGAGCGAAGTAGAAGAGCAGTAGAAGAACGGACATTCTGAACGCCTTTCGCAGCGCGATCGTCGCTGATCAGACCTTCCCTTGCCTCCAACTCCGACCGTTCGACCCAAGCTATTGCATTAAGAACAAACGACCCAAGGACTTCCGTGCGCGTTAGGTCGGCAATAGTCGTTGTTGGGATGCCGTTGATCTGCTGCCTGTCTTCTCTGCTATCGTCGAGATTATCGGCGATAGGAACGATTGTCGGATCGCGTAGCAGACGGCCTAGAATGTCAAAGGAGGGTAACGTGGGTGGCAATTGACGAAGGATATCGAATACATCGGCACGTGTGAACGAAGAGCCGGACGGAGAATCCCGTGAAGTATTAAGAAGGGCGACGATGAGGGGATGCCCTAGTGCCGGGTTGAGAGCAAGAAGCGGTGGCAGAGAATGTAATGGAACGAGTGTATGCGGTGCGAAGTGCGGTAGGGTAAGCACGACTACCTATTGAACAACGAAGATAATATCAGCACGGGGACAGAAGTCACTAGCAAAATGAATGAATCCAGCGCGGCTGTTAGGCGGATCCGAGTCGAAACTGAGAAAGTTTGCTGTGGTTGCCATCCACTTACTCTTTGCTCTGACAATGTCAAGACCCGCTGACATGCGGCAAGCAGGAGGCGCATTCCATGTTCCAAAAACTCAAATTTAGAGTCATCACCTGGTGGCAAAGGAGATGCCCGTATTTCATTCGCACCCTCAATTGGAGTACGTGCTGCAGAAGGTGCTGGAGAAGCACCTGCTGTCCCAGACTGTATTAGCGTACGCTTATCACCTGAAACTCTGATGCAGGTAGTTTGAATAAGTAAAAATAAATCCTAGGTTTATCCAAAACTTACTGTCCTGGCGCTTCATCATCGTCTAAGGTAAGCGCATCGTCAATAGTAAGTTGAGCGGCACGGAGCTTAGGAGGAAGAGGCGACTGTGCCAAGGTTGCAGGCGAATACGGTCCAAGCTAAAAGTTCAGAAGCTCATATTCAGTACTCGGTTAGAACACGATAAAGAGAAGTAGATGGACTGACGTCGTTTCCATCTCCCTTTAGGATCTTCCAGAGGACCCAGACGAGCTGCTCATTCTCACTAACGCCACCGCGCTCAGTCTCAGCACGCGACACATCTCGCTCGCGAACAAATACTTCCGCAAACGCACTCCGAAACGGATTTATCGCTATCGGATGGGTCGCATACATGTAGTACAAAATGTATGCAGCCAGTATACGGCGTGTTGTCTAGTCAGAATGGGTGAAGTTACAGAGCGTAGCAGCATGTAAAAAACACGTTAGCCACCGCGCACACACGTCTCAGTTACGACACGAGCACAGAAACCTCTCGCCGTGCTGAAACGGGACGGTCCACACATACCTCGGCTTGACCAGATAAGAGAGGCAACAGCACATCTAGTGCGATGCCAAAGCGTGCTGCAGGTTGCACCAGCTGGGCAAATGCCTGTGCGGCAGCTGAACACGGAATGCCGTGTGCACGGGCAAGCAGGTGCGCCACAGAAGCGCGGACAGGGTCACCTGTCGGTGTCGGAGACGCTGTATGCATTGGCGATGGACGATATCCAGCCGTCTGCATCGTGGTCGGAGCGAAAGAAGAGGAGCGATGGCCTACGCGCTGAGCGCAATAGAGAGACCTGCTAACGCACATGCCGGTCGGATTGCGGCCCACTCTTTTCCCTATTTGGCCATGTTTGTCGCGCCGCAGGGAATATTATAATTAATTATCTTTAATAACAACCTCTACACAATCTTATTCAAGGCCTGACAATCTGCATTTCTTACAGGGTGTATCATGTCTTTCCCTCTGTCTCAGCACTCTACCAGGATGACGATTCAGATGAAGGCAGTAATTCTTCCGCCACGTCGATCAGATCTCGCTTATCACTCTGATCCTGAATACAATTTGATAATACAAGTCAATCTACAATTTTACGATCCATGCAAGCAACAAAGTACGTATGATTATGAAGTACTATGTCTGATAAAAACGGTGGTTGAAGCGTGAAGAGAGTACGGTATCGTAAGCGGATGGAACGTGGTTCATGGAGGTATCGCTGACATGAAAGAAAGACTCGCCAAAGTATACATATTCTAAGGACGGAAAGTCTGCGCAATAATGAATCAGTCACGCAAAATCTTCAACCGTGTCCTTACGGATCAATAATGGCCAGAGTGCGATAAATACGTCTGTGCATGGCACTGCGCGAACATTGAATGTGCAATTCGTTAACGAGACAGGATGCCGTGAATATAAAAAAGCAAGCTGCTTGATGCGATCAGATAAAGGGGATCGTTACGAAGAGAAATGATTTGAATGAAGCCGTAGGTTGCTGCGACAATGCTTGATGTGATATGAAGAATGAGATATAGATGCTGTTGCGGGTCCAGTATGCGTGCAGAGTCCAAAACGTGCGGTAAGGAGCAAAAAAAAATCAAAGGACAATGAAGCGATGAGATGTTACCGCCGTGTATCGGGTAGCCGAGAGATTCCAGAGTTACGGGTCGCGTAAATGCTAAATCTTGAGTTCCTTGAACCCACGTACGTCGACACGCCCGCTTCCGTTCTTTTCCCACTCTTCAGAAGCAGTCGAGTCGGGCTTAGGCGTACTAGTGCCTGACGTAGATTTCCTGAACTTTCCACCTGGTACGATAATCTTTCCAGCGCTCGCTTTTGCTCGGTTTGCTGCTGAAGCAGAAGACCCACGGGCCGAACGTGCTTTCGGTAGTCCCAATCTCTTCCGTTCTCGCTTTGTTAAAGGCTTCGTAGGAGTCACAGGAGACGGAGGAACGACTACCATGGACGGCGGAGGCGTAGCAGCTGGTGAGGACGAGCCGGAACTCGACTCTCCTGATGAAAGGAGTTCAGGTGTATCGGCGTCAGGATCAATCTCTGTATCCATCTTCGACTTCAATCCTAAGTTCCGGGCCGGTCGATGCGGTGAATTTCGTCGCGACCGCTTCGCCTCTCCCTGTGAATCTTCTGCCGCTTCATCCACTCCATCGTAGGCACGCTTGGGCGAACGATTACTGCGGAGAATTGATGCAAAGTTCTGCATTGACTCAGGCGGGCAGTTATATCCTGGAACAGGAGGGACAGATAGCGCGGAACCTGATGTTGATGCTTCGGATGATGGAGATGGCGATGGAGAACGAGAAACAGGAAGTGGGATCGTTTCAGGTGGATCTTGGGATTCGCCCAACTCTTCGGCAACTTCATCTTCATCATCTTCGTCCTCATCATCTTCAACCGGGGAACTCTCTATCGAACTTGACGAGGATTGGGGAGAGAGTGCAGTGATCTCCGGTCTATTCGCCAGAGACGCTTGTGCTGTTGTAACGGGCTTCTCCACAGCATAAGGAATACCAGTGTGAGGTCCTGTCAAGTTTCGAACGGATGAAAAGTGCTCCCAGTCATGATAACTAGGAAGGCAAATTGGTGGGAAAAATAAATTTTACAGCAAACAAGCGATGATGTAAGTTTTGACACTTACGCCACGTAGACTGGTCCTAATGACGAGGAATCGTTCTCCTCGTCACTGTCAACATCATCTTGCACGATTCGTGCCGCATGTTTAGCCCTGGCCATCCTTTCTCGCTTTTTCTCACGTCGTGCCCGCCTTGCGTCACGTTCACTTAGTGCTGCCGGTGGTGACGGAGGCTGCTCACTAAGCGGAGACGTCGCAATCGTGGGAGATAGGTCAGCCCCTGACGTCCACTCGATAACGTAGACAAGTCCAGGCTGGATGACCTTGACGTCCCGGCGCTTCAGGTGGGCAAAGGCAGTGAGCTCCAAATGTCCACCATAAGTACCTGAATAAAAGTCATTCATGAGAGGAGACGTTTGAAAAAACAAGTCTGAGATGAGCAAATAGCAGATGAGATTAATTAGCAATTGGCATACCTGGCTGTCGCATACACCTGAGGTGCACGTCCAACCCACGCTCGTCATCAACGAAGGGCGCATAGCGAGACTTGTGTGCCTCCATCCAGTCACAGATCTCCTGTCGAAGCTTAAGATGCTGCGAGGGCGATCCATAATATTGGTCGGCGAGTGCGCGGAAGAGACAATTGCCGTCCCCGAGCGTGGGCGCGGGGTACAAGCCAAGCGCGCGCAGCTGATCGTTCAAGAGCTGCGTGTTCTGAATCGGATCGGAAACCAGCTACACACACAACAAAATAATTTTAATCTCATTGTCAGATAGCGCAGAAAATGACCGGGTAGATATACTACTGACTGCTGCACCCCTGTTCTGCCTTGTGCTCTTGCGGGCTGGAGTCGTGGCACATCGTGGTTAGGAGGGTGAGTACTGTACGTATGCGACCGCGATAAACACATCGCCACTCACTCTGTCTCAAGGATGGCGCCGTATGGCGCGGGTGTTTCTTCGCCATTGTGTTAAGTAGGGGAGTAGGATGGGTGCTTTGCTGCCTCGAGGCCTCGTTTGCGGAGGCTGATGAGGCAGAGGCAAAGGGGCTTCAAAGACGCTTCCTTCCAAATAAGTAAATTGCTGATGTCAGATCAAATAACACAAGGACAGTCGGGTAAGGGCAGTAATTTAGGCTACAATAATACCAGCAGGAAAAGAGCATTGGCCTTAGCAAAAATATCTCAATGCACGGTCAGCGAATGAAGTGTAGGGCAGCAAGACCTTTACAAGGTCGTCGCCTCTTAACCGATACACCAGATTCTGCTCTACAAGGTGCTGCGCATAATTCCGCCACGCAAGCGCACCCTTGCTTACGGTCCGAAACTCCTGCTCAGGCACATCAACATTAGATGAACGATATCCATACTTCCCCCTCTCCAGTGTACTCATGCTGCCCACGACAAACAACGCACGTTTGGCACGCGTCAATCCGACATTAAGCCGTCGTCGGTCCGCAAGGAATCCAATGTGTCCGAATTGATTGTTTCGAACTGTCGAGAAAATAATGGCTTGCTTCTCTCGGCCCTCAAATCCATCTACAGTCTTCACTTCGATGTTCGGGACCTCTAACGCCCGATCTCCTAGATGAGCCTTGAAGTGATCGCGAACCTCATCATCCTTCTTCAGCAATCGGGTTAGAAGATTCATTTGTGACTTGTACGGTGCGATGACGCCTATATCTTCTCCGAGAAGGTCCTATCATGACTTTTGAGGCGAAGTCACAAAAAATCTAAAGTAAAGCACTTACTGGGTTCAATCGCAGAAGATCTTCAACGATACTGCAGATGATGTATCCCTCCGTCCAGTTTACTCGACTTCTGCTCTTCGTTGCCTCGGGACCCTCATGATCGATAAAGATAACAGAAGGACGATGCCCAGTCTCAGGATGAGCAACGAGATGCGAAGACGAAAGTGGCATCAGCGAAGGGATAACCTCCCCAGCGTGAACTGTTCCATCCAAAAGCATGGTATCATAAAACTCCATGGAAGGGAACTTCGAGATGCCGGGATGCATACGATATTGCACGTCTAACATCACTGAAGGAACGTCTTGTTTCGTTTGTCGTCAGAGGCCAGCTTTCAGTATGGAAATACGCTATCTCACCTCCTTCGGATATTAACCGTTCAAAAAGACTAACATCTAGCTCGCCTTGTTGTGCGTCTCGACTCACTACAACAGGCGGAAGCTGCTTGTGATCCCCGATGAGCGCCAAGTGTTTGCACTATAAAAAGGCTTAGAAAAGTCCCAGAATAGACACAAAGTTCCACATACGCCTTTCATTAAAGGAATAAGAGATGCAGGTTCTGTTGACATGGATGCTTCGTCCAAGAAGACAACAGGAAAATCCATGGTCTGTAGATAATACGATGCTGACCTTATGCTAGTCGTGCAAATCTGTGCACATGTAACATTAGACACATTGCGGTAGCCAAGAACAATGAATTCAGATCTCACCACATCCGCTTTTGTACAAATATCATAGAAAATTGATTCCCGTAGTAAACGCGCCCGGGCTTTCAGAATGTACGATCGATAAGATTTTCTATCCATATCAAGTTTCATGTTTTCTAAGGGATAAAAAATAAGTAAAAGCACTTCAAATAGAACTGGCAATCCGAAACGTTTATACCTCGCTTCTCTATCCAATTAGTAGGTTTTTCATCTTCGAGGGCTTTTATATCCTTCCTAAGTTTACGTATCCTACTGTCTAATTCCTCGTATTCTTTAATGAGAGGGTCAAGTTCTGCCGCCTTCTTCGGATGTCCATCGAACTGTTCATCAAACATGTATTCCTGTAATTCAGGTTTTGCGCTTCCTTCGTTGCCAACACGGAGAGGTTTCAACCCGCCATTCGCAAAGCCTTCTAGCAGATTGTCGATTGCAACGTTCGTGAAGGTACACACAAGAATCGGGTGCGGAACTTCAAAGTGACCCTTCAAGAGCTTGACAGTCTCGACGATAGTTTTTGTCTTTCCTGTGCCAGGTGGACCTTGAATGAGACTGATTCGTTCACCAATCATCATCGCCATCGCTCGGATTTGGGACGCATTCAGGTGATTCAAAGGAGGGTCGCCCTCAACCACAACGGGATCAGGTTGTCGGTATCGTCTCGCCCAACTCTGAATCAACTGGTTTTCACTGAGTGCACCGCCTGCCTGATCGATCCTGCTGTCATGTTCAAGCTGGTCATGACTAAGATAATGCTGTTCCCCTGGATCTTGAAGGTGATGAGACTGTCGCTGTAGTTCTTTAGGCTCGGCGAACGACTTCAGCAAGACATCTCGAAGCCCTGTGCCTTCAAGCCGGTACATTTTGTTGTCCGACAAATTTTGTGGATCCTTCTCAATCATTTCTGGATCTTTCGCAAGCTTGTTTATAGCATCGTACATTCGCTGAAATGCGATGTTCGATGTGCCAAGGTCCAATCTTTATTGGACTAGTGTCAAATTCCATCAGGTCAAGGTTGAAGAATAGCTCACCTCCAGAAGTCCTTTGGAAGATCATCAAATGTTTCGTCGAAGGCAAGGTCAATCTGTTCGGGTTTTACCTTGACTACGCTCCCCCTTCGCGGTTCGTCCTTCAAAGGATCCAGTCGAGAAACAAATACTTGCGAGCCATATCTACTCCAAAAGTTAACTTCAAATAGGATGAGGATAGTTGCTTAACATACGTGAAAACATGCGGCGGCAAGCTGACGCCAGGGCTCAATCTGAATCCAGCGACAGAGCGATCATCCTTCGACTTAAGAAGCCAAAAGCCCTTGAGATCCGTCATACAATATCCCTCCTCTTTCAATCGCCGCAGCGACCATGTCGATAGACGACGTTTGATGACTTCTTCTTCCGCTTCTTGCTCCGCATGAATTAAAGGTTCAAACCTGTGCCTGTCCGTCAGAAAATGAAGTAAAGCAACTACAAATAGTCGTTCCTACCGTGATTTATAGGCTTGAATCTGCTTCAAGAACCGGCCGGCTTGCATTGGCCCTGATTTGTATGATTCTCTCAATTTGAATTCAGGAGCTGGATCGTCTGCCTTTACCGTTCGAGAACGTGCTCGTGTCCTCCAGTCATATCTCGTCGGGACTTCCTCCTGGATGAATGGGGTTTTCTTCAGCTCTTGTTGAAGAAGCCATTCCCTTTGCGCCCGAGTGAGCTTGCGTGGTTTTAACGCAGCAGCTGTCGACTGTGCCCGTGCATTTGTGCAAGATCGACCTCCGATAAACGCACGAAGACGTAAGGCAACGGCTTGTTTGCCTTTGGAACCAGTCTTTGGTCTTCTGGATACCAGATATGCAAAAGAACTCCCTGCATGGGAGGAGTGCAGCGCCAGCTTGACAGAACGTAGAGGGAAAGGAACGAAGGAAGTTGTGATTCACAAAATGGTTTACCTGCAGGTCAATACTTTTTTCATGGTGACAGGATCACGTGTGAAACACGGAAAGCCGATGTGACGCGTCGCGTGGCATAGAACTGTACTCTATATTGGCTGTATTGCTTGAGCACTGCAGCGTAAATTGATTCATAGTAAGCCAGATTGACAGATTGTGCACAAAAATAAGGTAGCGCCTCGTCCCGTGGATGAAAGTGTAGAACAAAGAGCTGGTGAAATGAAAGAGTCCATTACTCACAGCACGTGATCTCAGATCTCACTCCTTCCAAGTCCTTTCAACGTAACGCGTCTCTCGACTCTCACTACTAGAACTAGAACTCGAGATCCACCACGCCTTAGCCGCTAAGATTCGGCATGCACGGTTCTTGCTCTTAATGAAATCAGTAACCATTGTTAGCTATATTGCTTTAGAGGAACGACAACCAACGGGATCCCGAACCTTGCTCGTAGCCTTCTAATGTGAACTCTCGTCTCCCGGCTTCGCCTCGCAGGATTTTACGGCACATCCTTCAAAGCGCTTAGGGCGGAAGTCTTGCAATAGTATGACGGCAACCCCGGAGGTGATACCATATGGTTTCCTTGTGGTTCCGCGATAAGCCAATGGTTTCTTGCCTGTACCACACGTTCCCCGATACATAGGAAAAACAAAACATGCAATAGACTCAATTCAGCGAATATGCCAAGAAAATAACAAATTAAAAGTCCAAAGGAGCGGTGAGAATACTGCTGCCTCAGCTACCGTTCTAAACTGTGATTCTATCTGATAGTAAGCCATTATCGCGCATAAACCGGATAATTTCTCAGCTAAATCCGCCGTGAATAACATTTTCATATAGACAGTCGTGAGAGGGATGTACTGTATATCGGTGCGTTTACGTTCGGGTCGTATAGCACACCATAAGTCTGTCCCATCGATTCAGTTCCCAAAAGGCAGTCTAAAATGCTGACAAGGCACCCAAGAGTCTTGGCAAAAACCACATGCATACACTCGCATTAACAGCTATCTCAAAATATCACTCGCGTGTATACAAGGCGTTCAGGCATAGCGGACTCTACGCGGACATACCGACTCGTTTCCCTCGGAAACGAACGTATAGACGGGGAAAACCCGCCTCACGCCCGTCCGGGATCCAAGCCGATTTTGGATTAACATTTAACCTTGCTTATTCAAATCGCATCATGGTCCCCCGAGAACGGAGGTTATCATCCGAGGGCTTAGCGATGAGAAAGGAGAGCCATCAAAAATAACAAGCTCCAGAAGGCAAGTCCTCGCGATTCTTCGCACAGTTGACGGGAGTAATAATAACGAATAACGCAGCCCATAGCCTTTTCGGGATAGTAAAAACCGTATTTCTCGGACGGATCAGTTTCGTACGTGCTAGGATATGAACGTCTAGATGGCATCTAGATGGGTTCGTTGTGGCTCCAACGCACGTGCTGGGCATCGTGGAGGTCCATCATGCAATACGGACTAAACTCAAATAGAACAGAAGCACCAGGTTTCGTACATGGCTGCTTCAATCCCTTGAGGATTGCTAATGGTTGCTTACAATGACTCCATCTTCATGATGCACTGCAGTGCTTCCGGAAGGTATGCCTTCAGGTCGAGGCGCCGGCGAGGTGAGGCGAAACAGACTGTATTGCACGGAGGTTCAGATTTGAGCTGCTAGAATCACTCAAATCTTTTCATCACACAGCATGAAATCAAGAAGAAAAAATCAAGGGCATCTTCTTTTATTTCTAGCGCCTTCAGCCACCGGTCGTCCGCGGGTCAAACACAGTATCGTACGTATGAAAATCTATGAAACAGACGTACATAGCGACTTTCTCGTCATTGTATTCGTATTGCAGAAACATAACACGGACATTACGGAAAAGAGTTCGATCGTCGACAAATGGAAAGAGGGAAAGGTATAAGTTATGTAACTGTTCCGGTTCCTGTATGTACTGCTAGTGACGAATCACCAAGGAGATTCAACTATGTACTATGGACTGTACTATCCAATTGGGAATGGCAGTGGCGAACGCAAGGATATGGTAAGCAGGGAAGATCTTGGGCAACTGGCTGAATGGTCATGGGATAGGGAATAAAAATCATGTGCAATGGGTAAATACAAACTTTTGATCGTCAAACGATAAACGCGATGATTCCGTCATGAGCATGAGAAATGTGTTGCTGGGAGAAGAGATGGAGAAGGTTAAAAGGGGAAAGAAAAAATGTGAATACAAATACAGTGTTCCTATGTGCAATCATGACGGATGAAGACATTATTATTCGTAGACCATGATCATCGGCGTTGACGAAGTCCTCTGAATAAGGGAAGGAAGTATATGCAAGAAAAATGGTAGAAAGGAAGACTGGATCTGGGTAAGAATCATTGGAAGGTTCCACTTGCTTCATGCCAGCAGTGCAGCACAATGACATCGCAAATATCCCATGATGAGACCATCGCTATCTCGCAATATCCGCTTCCGACCCCAGTCGGACGAACTCTCCTTAACTGTTCCTCGGGCACAGGGAGAAGAAGCCCAATGTAGGGCGAGCGCTCGGCGTTCCGTATCAGCTGCGAATAGTGAACCCTAAGAACCACCTCAAGCCCTTCCCATCCGGTCAACAAAAATAATACGATATCAGATCCCGCCCACCAAATCAGACATCCGCATCCAGAGAAACTGAGTAAAAAACGAAAAGAATCCGCAGGAATCACGCCCAACACATGGTCCACCCAAGATCTTCCACTGAAAAAGAAGCACACCCCGTGGGTCGGCAACTTGCGCATGTGGAATCACACCTTCGTGCGAATCTTGCGGCTGCACGCCACGCGCGCTGCAAACTCGAAGCATGCGCCTACAAGTAGTAACGCGCCGCCAAAGAATTGTGCCCAAAGATACCTAAAGTCGCCAGCACCCCCGCCAGTTGCATGCGGCGACTTCTGCGATCGTAAAGACAGCAACGCGCCGGCTATAGGAGGTCCGGCAAGAATACCTAGAAGCACGATTGTGTGAGTATTCGCATTCTTATGAGGTACAAGGAAGCGTCATAGCGAGAGCTCTCACCAGGTGCCATAGCGGCCATGAACATTCCTGTACGGGTGCCGATCTGTGATTGGTCTTTGGTGATTTGAGCAACGCAGGAGGAGGCTATTGAGAGGTAAGAGGCGCTGGCTGCGCCAAATCTACAAATAGCTATTGTCAGGGGCCAATCAAATGGTAGGTACGGGAGTACGTACAGAATGGCAAATATGATGGTTTCTGGTATACGCATAGAAGTTGTCCATATTGCGAAGACCGCGAGGGTTTGCAACCCAGCTATAGGTACCACAGTGTTGAAGCGACCTAACTGCACGAATCAAGCGGCTCGCTGTCAGCAATGACTCTCGCGGAAATGTTCGATAACGTACACGATCCGCAATATAACCACTGAAGATTCTACCGACCATACCCGCGGCATTCATGATGGCAATGGAATAGAAAGCGAGACTGGCACTGGACCCGCGGCTCAGCATGAACAGCTCAATGTACCAAAATGGCGTGAAAATCGCTGAATAAAAAAAGAGAAAAAAATACACGGTATCAGCGACTCCACCGATCGACAATGAACTTGAAAAGACTAGTTTCTCACCGAATGCAGAGAAGAAACCTCCTAGACAGTGGAGTAGAAACTTGATTTCCTTTAGTGCACCGAAATCAAATATTTTTTTATTCTTGGATGGGGGGAGCCGTTCCTTGATGAACGGGATACTGATGGCCTGAGCCACAAACATGAAAAGTGCCATGGCCCGGACCGACCAGGCAAAGCCAATGCTGTCAAACAGTCTTGAGAGCATAATGGGGAAGATGATTCCACCCAGCGACGAGCCGGCAACGACAATGCCGACTACAGCGGCCCGTTTGGCTCGGAACCAGTGGGCAGGGATGACGAGCTGTAGAAATGACCATTCAGTTCTATGTTGGGTACGGTGAGAAGTTGCTAAAATCGAGAGACTCACGAGAGGATAGAATCTAGGCAATGATGGACGTAAGACAATTAGGGTAATGGCTCTCGTATACACGAAGAACGAGCGAATAAGCGTACTGGAGAGCAACTCCGAGGCCCATCCCAATAGCCTGCGACAAGAATATTTGATAATAGGTTTTCGAAAGTGAGAGCATGCAGGCACTGAAAGTTGACAATAAACATCCGGCAGTGAGAAGACCCTAAGTAGTTCTCAGATGAATTTGCAGAGGGCTGAGGTGACTGCCAAAAACATACTCTTGCACCGTACACGTCAAGTACTCTGCCCAGGAATAGACCAGAAATATACAAAAGTGTGACTTGGACACTTCCGATCCAAGAGATATCCGACGCTGTTCGGTCACTAAGCTGGTCAGTCGCATAGTGACCTTGGAAGACGCCAAACGAATTTACTTGACCTGTGGCCGGAGGCGCTCGTTAGCAATACGTAGGGAAATGTCGGAATAAAGGAATAATGAATTATCCTACTGACCGAAAGCGGTCAAGGAGATCAACGTGCATCCGGCGATGTTGCCCCATGCCTTCCATCCTCCGTCCGGGAACGTTAATTGTGGTACAGTGTCAGGGACTTCTTCAGTCCGCTGAACGGCCTCTTCATCCTCCACTTTTTCGCGAGGCTGCTCGTCACCGAACCGCTCTTCGCCTTTGCTTCGTTCTCTGCTTAATCGCTGAAGAGAAAATATTAATATTAATCAATTTCTGCGTGAAATCAAAATCTTCTCACCTCTCCGTCATAGGCGAAGGAATGAGACGAGTCAGAGGCTGGTGAGTCCCCGCTATGGAACTTGGCGCGCTTTGTCGACATTTCAAGATCGTCAAAGGAGGTGGTCCTGCTTGTGCTACTGGAGCTAGCCATTGAGTTGTCTAACGAAACCAGCAAAGGAAGGGGAGCAGAAATTAGGCGCCACGAAGTCCGATATTTAAAGAGGGGAGAGAATAGGCGAGCTAGGAAGAAGCAACCGGGATAGCGATGAGAGAAGACTGAATTAAGGGACTTGTGAAGTACGCTTTCTGTGCAGCGTGTCCGCTCGCTAAGAAAGAAGGGCGAGAGTTCTCGTGTACAACGGCCGGAATCTGAGAATGCAGGAGGAGACAAGCGGTGCGGTATGTTTTCAGACGGCGTTCGGCAGTGGGAGTCAGAGAGGCTGACGAGAGAATGCGAGGGTATAACAGAGCGTGCTCGGGTTCGGAGGCGTTCTCATGAGGCCTGGAGTATTAAGCCCGCGGTAAATTAGTTTTGTTGGAATATTTTAAATGGCGAAGATGGAGAAGGACAAACCGAAACAGACCGCGCTTTTTGGGCGCATATAGCAACGTTCCGAGCCTCGGCCGTCCGCGGTTCACATACGCCCTGATAGCATATCAGGTTTTGCCAGGAATAGCAGGCAGGCAGCATGACCGAAGTCGCCTCGAGGGCGCCGCTACCCCCCAATTCTCCTAATCAGCCCACGACCTGATTCGAACCAATGGTTGCGAAGAATTCTCGGCAAGATACCGCACCTCCCGTTCATTTCTCTTCTTCCCGAAGTTAATATTCAGTGCGGTCGTGGAAATAACCACTTCTTCCACACTGCTACCCGGAACTTTGTTGCTGAGATGGATCAGATTATTTTTTTGCTGCGGCGAGGATCATGACAAGGCTGAAGAAGGCAGGTGAGACCACCGAAGGATCGGGCATCTCTACAGCGTCAACATCTCAGACGGCGCGACCAGGGCAACAACCAGACTGTCTTCAGTCCCCACATGCATATCTTGGCTTGTGAGAAGCAGGCTGTGGGAGAGAGTCTGACAGAGCAGACTGTCCTGGCCTGGCAAAAACAGAGTTTGCCTCCGGTGGGTTGTTGTTTGAGTTACAGTAAGGTTACGACAACGATCGTCGTTGTCGTTCATATTAGGAAGGTGTTCCCTCCCATTGCTGTCCTCAGATCTGCGTCTGTCTTCGACGTCCTGCCCCAACGCAGAAAACGTCGTCGCAGCTCAGCACTTTGCTTCAACGATGCGCACAGACGCGCTACGGAGCATCGGCACGTCCTTCGTATTCATTATACGAAACCAGCATAAGGGTAAGTATAGTCAATCAAGCTTTTGCGTGTTTGATAGGTGGCGAGATCAACTTACGACAGCCGCCACTATTTAATAAATCCGATCTAGATATTCTCCTCCTTTTCTGCCGCCGCGGCATGGGTATACCACCATATGAAGAGCGGTTAGATCGAATTGGATGGTCCCGGTGATCATGAAATGCATCTTGGACGAGATGATTCATCTCCTCGGCTAGCGGTCAATTCAGCGGTGCTGCAAGCCGCATTTGATCATGCCAGCTTGATAGAGGCGCCCACAATTGCACGTATAAGCGTTTCATGGCAGCCGGAATGTCAAAAAATAGACGTCTTGATATATTCGATGAATTGCTTTCCTCCTACCGCCTCGGGTCGAAGTAGCAATTTCGTTTTTCATACCCGAGGATCGCAAAACACCATGGTCATCCGCACATATAATACGTATACCATCAGACCAATTGCTCAGCTATTCCGCATATCAACAATCGTCGTGCTCAGCGCGGACTTGCGGCGGACTCCCCAGATCCTCCATGACCGCTCTTTATCCGCTCAATATAGAACACGATTTGGCTTATTTGTCGTGCCGAACAGGATTTCCCTCAGAAATCGGATATGAACCCTTCTCTGCATGCATTGGTAACGGATCCTGACTTATTTGCCATAACCGAGTGGAGCGGGGTATACGCGTGCAAAAATTGCTCGCTATCGCAACGAACAACTGGGATAGCGAACAGCGGAGAGCTGGATGATCGGTGATGACTTCTATGTTCCATGGAGCCGTTGTTCACTTCCATGCATCGATGCCCGAGGTACACAGATTACCGAAAAGGCCGGGTCACTCGGGAGGAAAAAAAACAAGCAAAACCTGATGATGGGAGTGACTGAAATACACCACCTGCTTCGTTGTATACCTTTCCCAACGTTACTGTACATGGGCCATGCAGCACAGCAGCGCCAGCGGCGGTAAATTAATCACGTTTATCATCGGATGGTAGGTCGCTCCGGATGATCGAAGCGCCGCATCACATGGATGACGAGACAACGTTTTGTTTGCACAGGTCACAGATGCTGAACTTCCTCGAGTGAGGGAGGAAAAGAGGCTGATCCTAATTAGTGAGGAAGACATGCTTAGAAGGGAGGTAGTGAGTCTGTTACTCTTCTCTTCCATTCGTGTTTGCGATTGCTCATTGTGCTTCGTTAATATACATTTGCCAGAACTGTATAGCCATGTGCCAACTGTCTAAATAGACAACTACTCTGTCTATTCAATTTCCATTCTCTCAAGTCATCCTGACTCGAGAAAGTCAATCGATACCACCTTAAGATGCCAGCTGAAGCCGAGACTACTCTGCGCCATGAACCAGGCATTCCAAACTCCCCATCAAATCTTTCTGGTTTTCGAGGCTGAGCTCCCAATTCGCGAAAAAGCTTTCTAGAACGCCACATGCACAGTCAACTCGCCCGCGATCACTTTGGATAAACTTCAACGGGATGGAAGTGGATAAAGAGACGCGCTCATAGCAGTTTAGGGAGCCTTTTCTCATTCAAGCTTGTTCTTCACTTTGCCTCGTTTACGGGTGGCAAAAGCCAGGAGGCGGCGTCGCAACGTGCTTGTATAACGGCCGGTCTTGGTCCGCATCCTTCCGTGTTTCCTTATTCATGTCGTTATCCTCACGCGGTCGTTATGTCGGAAAGTGGCTCATCTATGTTTACGGTCATTTACGGTCTATTCATTTCGCAATCCGATCATCACCTTTCTCAAGAAAGCCCATCCGCGTGTGCATTATCAGACATACACTTTCTGCCGTCGAGATTGGTTCACCTACCACTTGGACTTTTGGGTCTATTCCAGGAGCCTGGTGGGGTTCTACGTGACTTGAAGAATAAGAAGGCGAGGCAAGGGAATTCGTTCGGCAAGTCAACCAGACAAACTAACAGATTACGACCACGGCATGCGGGACGAGCCGAATATGTGAAACTACGAACTATGGACCTGTGGACGGGTGAACTATGCTGTCGCGACGAGTCGAATCCATATTCCGTGCCTTCGAACTCGGACTCTTTCTTCTATGCGTCTGGATCAGTTCATCTGTGTTCTCTCCTGACTGGTATTCGTGCCTTTTTACAAATAGGGATACGACGTGCGGCGTCCCCGCGTCGCACTTGTGGTATTCGAGATGTACAACCCAAAGCCGCCCTGTTGACGCGTTTCTTTCGTGATTGACTACTTCGATTGTATGTCAAGTGATTGGATTCATGGTGCTCATGATCCTCTGCAGACCATTCCTGGATATTGCAAAGTCTTCGAACGAGTATGGAAGAACGTTCGGCAACATACGTATATTTTTGAACAAAGACGTTCTGCTCTGGTCACAAGACTCGGCCTGTGCTCACTTTAATCGGCCTTTGGCAATTCTGGTTCTATATTGGCCAAAGACTGTTACTTTGTTAGCATACACTGGGCGATCCACCGCATTTTCTCTGCGCGGCTCCAATTGGTTACGAACACTAACACCTCACTCATGTTATCTTCTATTATTAGTGGTTTGTCTTCTTAATCGGCATGCCATACCTAACGGAAACATGTAGCATACAAATAGGCTACATCAGAAGCGAAAGTGATCATGGAATAATCGTAAGGGAGGGAAAGCGGAGCACACGCAGGACGCCACAAGGAAGAAGAAGAGGGGTTGGAGAGACTGAAGAAGGTTGGATTCGGATGCACTTGTGCCCTGTGTTGCGACCATACCTCGACCTGACCTACGGTGGTGTACGTATATGTGGAGTGTCGCGGTGCCGTGTGACATTCTTCGCACCTTCGTCTTCCATTTGTACACCTACCCTCACCAGCAACTCTGTGGCTTGGCTGTGAGTCTGTGACGGTATGTGAGACTCAGAGAAGCCAGACTGTCGCATCCGCACTTGGACGTGGGGTCGTTACTACATTGCTAGTTTTACAACGTGGGTCTTGACAGTCTCACATTCTAACAGCTGAGTATATTTAAACTGCCATACAGTCGGCAACCGCCTTTTTACGCATACAAAATGACCTCGCACTGGTCTGAAAATACTGAACACATGTACGGGATAAACCGAATATGAAGGATATAAATACACTTTAATCCGGGAGTACTAATCCACCGAGCACCGATATTGGTGTGAGTATGCGTCGAGTTGACTTGACCTGGCCCAGCCCAGCTCAGGAGAGAGAAGAGGAGGAGCTAAGGGCCTGGGAAGACAAGTTAAGTTTATCATATTCTTGAACATCATTCGCCGAAGAGAAGTCAGAACGACGCCACAAAGATGCATAGTGAGTCCCTTGCACAGGTCAAGCCTGGTAACTGACGCAAACGAACACTTTTAATCCTGCAGATGCCTAGGTTTGATCGGCGAATATATTGAAATCAATTTAAGTGGCGATCGTTGGTACGTATTTTGGGGAAATAAGAGAATATTCCCACTGTCGCGTACATGATGGCAGATTCAGAGATGCTGTCGTTCAATAATAGACTCTGTATTGGAGCTGTACTTCGCTTTCATGCCCGTTGAGCCCGCAGCTCGCACACTTCTTATTTGTTCTCGCGAGAACAAGGTCGGAACCTGGCACATTGACGTATGTTAACAGCAGACTCGATCACTTGAACCACGTCACTGCGACTCAGTATAATTCTCGATCATCCAAAGCCTCGACTGGTCTAAGCTTCGATCGCCAAGAGCCTCGATCATCTAAAGTCTCGATCACTTAATCCTAATCCCATTTTTCTTTAGAATATGCCACAGCTCCCCTTGAATATCATAGGCTAACTCATCTACAGGGAGAGCATCCAATCGGTTCTTTGGCCGATACTGTTTCAGGCCGTTTCATTTACTTGGATCTATGACACATCCTGGCTTCGGTGTGTTATCAAGTGTGAAAACATCGGGAAGTGACTTGGGACAGATTCCTGGAAATTACCCTTGCTGTAGGGTCTCTGGTACCGGATCTAAAACTGTGCTTCGATGTACACCTGCGATATTGCTATTGCTTCAAAACTCGGGTTGACTATTGGGTAATACTAGCACTCCTCTGAATCTGTCCACATTTGTCATTTGAACAGGGGTCCCGCCTTATCTTGCTGTAGTCTTTGCTATTCTCGGGAGGTACGTCCTTTGCAAGAACAAACCTTTCCCCATATAACCAAATTCAAAATAACGTTGCAAATCTGAATTGTATCCGGGCTGTTTTCCACGAATTCGTATCTGCCATTGGTTGGACTGATCGTTTCTATTGGACTGGTTGACTTAAGCAAGTAAACTCTTATCAGCCTGACAGCATCGCATTTAACGATCGATGTTTACGATCAATAGCAAAAATAACCATGTGATGTTTTGTGGCGGGTGCAAAAATGTTGAATTGCAGCGCTATTTTTTCCTCAATCTTTTTTCTCACAGACAAGATGCAATGAACGGAAGTTATTTTTGTCTTTCAAGCTATTTAATCCCATCGTCTCCTGAGGTCAGTTGATTAAATATTACCCACACATTAGTCTGCTAACATATGGCATCTTCGCTAAAGCCGACGGGTCCCACACACTCTCCTAAGTCAGGAAGGTCAAGGAACCGCAAGGGTACAAGAGATGCACCTGCCGTTAAGACCAATGGAGGGAAAAGGGTATCGGCTGTGCAGGGAAGACCAAGCAGCGAAGCCCATAAAGCAAAGAACCAGCAGAATCTCCCAACTGTAAACAATAAGCACCATGAGCGCACGGAGTCGCGAACCGGTTCATCGCATAGCATAAAGCAGGAAATGGACCTTGTTCAGAAATCTCTTAGTAATCTGCAAGTATCTCAAGTGACACTGATTGAAGGAAATGTTGCTAGAGTATGGGGAGCGCCAAGTAAATCGTATGTCTTCGGGAAGAAGATTGGAACAGGTTGCTTTGGAAACGTCTATGTGCGTTCGTACAAATTTATATTCCATATCCTCTGATTAATTTTTTTGCTGTCTCTTTCGTCAACCCATGCTTCAATAATAATAATAGCTATGTAGGGTTCAAGATGGAACAGCATACGCTGTGAAAGCAATGGAACCCACACGGAAGGAAAGCACTAAGGCCAGGCAAGAGTTTGAAGCAGAACTTCTAGCAAACTTCAAGGCAGACCCAAAATGTCCCAAATCTATTGTGAGTCGAGAACAAAAAACTCTTTCTAACCTTATAGTCTAGCACCGTGAAACTAGAAAGTCTAATGTTCCCACCATGACGTATTTAGGTGAAATTTATTGAATCATTTGAGTATTCTGGGACTCCGTTTAATGACCACAAGAAATTATGCCTTGCTTTTGAATATCTTGAAGGTCCTGATATCGGGGATGTCCTATACGACAATGGTCCCTTAAAGGACTTGACTCGGATCAAATCTATCGTAAAGTGAGTGAAAGATCGCTATATGTTCCCATTAACTTATAAATCCACGGCAAATGTCTTGCGTCAAGACAAGTTTTGACTGGACTCGTTTACTTGAACAATAAAAGAATCGTACATAGGGATATCAAGTCAGTGACTATTGTTCTACTTCCACCCACCTTACAAATAATCTAAATTGAGCACTATTCTCAAGACCAGAGAACATTGTGTTAGTGTACACAAGCCAGAGTAGCTCGCTCGTAAAAATTGTAGACTTTGGTCTGTGAGTGGATCTGTAATTATTTTATTATTATTAGTGAGACATGGATGGAATGACGTCGAATAAATTTACTATGTAGCTCGACAAAAGATCCTACAGTTATTACCGGTTTTCCTTATGGACCCGTTTTGTACTTTCCTCCCGAACTTCTGGGCGAAAATAGGGTAGCGACTTGTAAGGTGGACACCTGGGCTCTTGGGTATGTTCCTTTGTTTCCTCAGACGTGGTCTTTACAGGTAGTATTAAATGTGCTCCTTTTATTGTTCTAAAACCGTAAATTAAGTGTAATGCTCTGGGAGATGCTCCACGGATTAGATACTTTTCCGATTCAGTTGTGGGGACCCGCTCAGGCTGAGCTTGAAGTTCAAAATCGACGAGGGTATAGTAATTCTCTCCTTAATTGCGTTTTTTTTCTAATTTATTGTAATTACCTGGCAAGGTTGAGAAGAGAAGAAGAGCGAAAGAGATTTAAGGAAGAAGTAGATAGGGAGGCACAGTTGCTCATGAATGAAAGGAACAGGACAGAGTTTGCTAAGAAACTTACATTCAACACAGACGAGTGGATTAAGAATGCTGAAGGCAAGTTGGAATTTGTATAACGTTGACTTTCTATGTTTAGTGATTGCATAATATTTTTAGCAATATCCTTAGCAGAAAGCCTACTAAAGAAAAATTATAGAGAAAGAATCTCAGCAAGGAATGCACTTGAGAATCCGGTTTGTCCTGCATTGTTCATAATCATGATTCAATTAACTCAATATACTCTGTCTTAATGTTTCCAGTGGCTCAAGGGATAAGAGCTTTAGTATACTACATAAATTGAAGAATATTTTACAAATTTTTATACCTTGTATTCTAGATTTCTATAATACAGGTATGTGGCAAAAGTGTTTGTCTTTCCTCAAAAGGTAAGGCCATTTGTAAGTGATTAGTAGAAATTAGAGGTAGATCAAAGCTTTGCAACGTGTGATCTGCATGTTGTAAAGCACAAAAAAAATAAAGAATTTTGCTCAATTTAAACAAAATGGCTTGTATTCAACTCAGCTCACCCAAAAAAAATCAACTCATTGGTGCTATACGTCTTGGAGCAAAAATCTGTCATGCTGCTGCAGTTCTGAAGATCCCCCATACTACTGCTCAATCAATATGGAAGAAATGGAAGGAAACTAAGTCTACCTCTAACAAACCACATTCTGGACGTCCAAAACTCCTTGATGGAATCATACACAAGCTTCTCATTCATTTGGCTACTACTCACAGGTTCATGCCTCTTAAAAACCTTGCAAACCACATGGGAATCAGTAGGGAAACAGTTAGGAGGGAGTTGGTAAAGGATGGTTATCACAGAAGACAAGTTAGGAGATGTTTACAGAGAAATGCAATTCAGGAGGCAAGAAGACTTATTTGGGCAGGACACCATCATCACTGGAGGGTTCAGGAGTGGGATAATGTGGTTTTTTCTGATGAATCCTACCTTTGTGTGGATAGAAACATTGGAAATGTTTGGGTGACTAGAAAACCACATGAAGTTTATGAAAGATCATGCATTCTTGAAAAGCCATACCAGAATCCAGTTAGGATAATGGTTTGAGGATGTATTGCTCATAACTTCAAAGGTCCTCTTGTTATTCTTGATTATCCTGGAGGGAGAGGAGGAGGAATGACTGTACAAAGGTACAAGGAGCAAGTTTTACTACCTGTCCTTATTCCAATCTTCAATTGGCTTCGAATCGAACGTCCTGGCCTCTTATTCCAACAGGATAATGCTAGATGCCACACAGCCTGAGTTACAAAGCAATGCTTGCAGGAGAACAATATTCCTCAAATTGATCATCCACCCATTTCATCTAATGTCAATCCTATTAAACCAGTCTGGTTTGATTGGAAGAACATTTTTCGAGGTCAACAAAGGACACCAACATCTAAGGAGGAATTGAAGGAAATGGCTAGGGAAGCTTGGGATAATCTTACATTGGATCAAATTAATAAACAGATTGAATCCATGCCAAAGAGGGTTGATACAGTTGTTATTGCTTGTGGAGGAAACACTGGTTACTAAAGTCATTATTTTTCTTTTTTTTCTTTCTAAACAAGCTATAGACAGCTATAATTTTAATTAATGTATTCAAGTTTTAAGTATATACTTTACAAAAATTAATGTTTATGTTTTTTTGTGGGTATATTGTGTTCACACAAGTCAGAGACGCGAGACGAAGGTTTGACGCGTCTCCGACAGCTCAAATAGGTAACACAAATCGATTAATAATGTACCTACCTATTGAGGAAAGACGAACACTTTTGCCACACACCTGTATGTCAACAATTGCTCTAATTGATTACAGGTTATTCTAGCAATACAAATATGATTATATTATATTATACTTTACAAGACATTTCAGTGTTTCACTAATTCAGATATTAATAAACTTATTAACAATATATTTTTCAGACAAGGATAAACTACATTAGTATCCAGCAAGGAGTATCACGATCCAATGATTTTCAAACCTGACCACTTCCTCAGTACTGATGGTCGCGCACCCGAGATAAACCCTCACCAGTTTGCCTTTGGTTTCGGTCGTCGTGTCTGTCCTGGCCGTGAGCTGGCTGATGCGTTGCTGTTTCTCACGCACGATTGGACAGAGCCTCTCTGTGTCACGGTTTAGCATAACTAAGGTGTTCGAAGATGGAAGGGAAGTTGAGCCAGTTGTCGCTTTCACCCCGGGTATTCTCAGTTACCCTGTTGAGTATAAAACGCGCGTAAGGCCGTACAGTACGAAGGCGGAAGCACTGATTCGTGCTGTCCAGGAGGAACATCCTTTTCAGCCAGGGGACGCACAGCTTCTCGCCAGTATCAAAGTCCAATCTTCCACCTGTTTCCATCATGTCTTTCCGTAGAACAGACAAGAGTTACTAAAGAAAAGTAGAGAAATGAAAGACTCTGGATGCTGTTACCCCTGGGACAAGCAGAGCTGAAGACAAGGAGCTATGAAGTGTATGAGTACAAAAGAGCAACCCGATGCGATATTGTGCAGGCCAGCGAAAGGACACCTGCATGTTTGTTACATTTCGGTCCGTGAGCTGTAGCACAAACGATTTTAGAATTTCCAGTGGTTAGGTTAAACCCAGGCGGCGGCTTGGGGCCATGTAAGCTGTATTCAAGAAGTGAGTGGTGAGAATCTTTGATTAATTTAAATGCTAAGTCATCAAGCACCACAGTCAATGTAATAATTTTAAGGTAACATAAACCTCCCACATATCGAATCTAGTTCACAAATCACCTCTTATTTGCGCGGCGTCATCTTCTGAGCCACCCGCATTTTTCGTTGTCTTTCCTCAGCCGCCATCTGTGCCTCCACCATTCGTCTTTTATACCACTCTACCAGGTGACGCAGAGTGCCTCTCATTGTCGGCAACGGTGTCTTCGGAATTGGTGGTAGCGGTGGAAGAGATACAGCCTTACGTACAGCTGGGATGCGTAGGACAAGTGTTTGTGCGCTGATAAACGCTATTGAGGTGATAAGATGAAGATTTAGACCCTATCGGAGCAGATATTAATTTCTTTCGTTGTATGATTATTTGAGACTTGAGAACGTACGGCTGGTAAGTTGGCTAAAATAGGGATGGAGATAGCCGTGAGTAATCGGAATCCATTCACAATATGCGGTGCGGAAGGAGTTCCGACAGCCATCATGTCACGTCGGCTGAGCTAAGGTGAACAAAGTCAAGAGCTAGTTAGCAATTGTCTAGATAGCACAGAGTTTGGTTTAGTTTCGCACCGATAATTGTAAATTGGCGAAAAAGAAGTTGACAAGAGGTAGGATGTAAAACGGGTCCGTAGCCGTCAAGTCTGTAATCCAATTAAATCCGCCAACTTTGAGCTGCTCAACAGGTGCATTGCACATCCTCCGTAATCCAAGGAAGAAACCAAATTGCACTATTATTTGCGTCATTGCGGTAAAAACAGAAGAAAGAGGGTTCACATCCGCCGTGCGGAGGAGTTGCATGTTTTGTTGCATTGCTGCCTGAGCTGCAAAGGTGTCTCCTGCTACCTTAGCCTTGTTCGCGCGATCGCGCAGCTCGGTGAGTTGAGGCTGTAACGGTGCAAGCCGTCCTTGCATACGGTTGCTCTTGATTATAAATGGGACTAGCATGGCTCGTGCACCGACTGTAGTTATGACAATGGCGCCCCACCAGGGTATGCCTGTTGAGACCTGCACCACCTCAAGTAGCCAAGGGAAAAAGCCTGCTGGTGTCCAGCTGACGAGACCCAAAGCAGCCATATCACCATATTGTGTTGGTATAGGATGTGATGCTAAAGTAGTAGCCACATTCGACACAGAATCTGAGATAGTATCGGGTATACTGGCGTTGAGAGACGAAGAAACGTCCGGGATCGCAGCATCGCTAGGAGCTTGTGACACAGCCCCCGTCACTGGGGCAGATTCTTCTACCGCTGGCTGTGAGGGCGTTTGTGCTTCAGGCGGTGGTGCTGACGAAGGCCGAAAATCAACACCCAGTATTCGTTACACGTGCAATAATTGACTCACGAGAAGGCAGTATCTCTGTCTTCGGCGTTCGTCCAAACGGATTCCAAGAAAAACTCCGAGAAGTTCCAAATGGCAGTAATAAGGGATTAGAGTGGGGTAATGGTCTACATCGCTGAGAGTATTTTAGATATTTGCAACAAAGCAGTCAGATAACTCACCTGGAGCCGTGTCACCGAGCGTGCAGGAAGGAACGCGCCTCTGTTGAATAATTATGATGTGTTCATGTGGTACGTAAGTTTCATCACATACCGACAGCTTGCATGCCGTGCAGGTCGAACCAGACAGGCGACCACCGACGCATTCATTGTGCTTGTAATGAAGCACAAGTAAGCGCACTGTGCAGCGTTCGAGACGAAAAATCCAGCACACACAGCACGTGATTAATTTAGCGTCGATCATTCCCTAATACGGTCAATGTGGACTTGACTTGTAACCAAACTCGCCTTTTGCTCTCTCACTGTGTCTGAATAACAACGAAGCATCTCTGATCATATGCCAAGAAAGCTCCAATTTTACTCTCCGAACATCCTTACACCCTTATTCATACAGCCCCTTAAACTGAGCGAGTTCACCATCAGACGGGCAGGAGACGGAGCAAGTCCTCAATTCATCTAAGAACTCCTAGACGAACAGGTTAAAACCCGCAGCGTACCTCTCTTCGAATCCACATAACTCAGATACAAGATGGCTCCTTCAGACAACCAGAAAGTGTCCTTCTACGGGTATACTCCTGTTCCTAGAGATCCGGATGTGCTTTTCAAGGATCATCCCACTGCTTCTGGAACAAGCCCCAAACAAGACCCTTTCAAATTTGAGGACATCCCTATCCCAGACTCGCTTCTAGTGCAGAAAGTCAAAGAGTTTGTAAAGGCATGTCTCATTACTATTTTTAAATTCATTCTGTTACTCAAAGATATGTATACTGTGTCAATCAGTCAAAGCTCAATGAACAGACATACAATCATAGTAACCGTGTCTACATTTACGGTACGCTACTTTTTCTTTCGATATGCATAAAGCACGCAAGGAAGTCATGCTAATTCTGTTTTCAAGGCACTGCCCTAGTCAAGACACACTTCCCCGATTGGTCATACGACTCCGAGACGTACTACCTCACCTGTCTTCTGCACGATATCGGTACAGCAGATGCATTCCTTGCGACTACAAAAATGTCTTTCGAATTCAAGGGCGCGATCGTCGCGCGAGAGCTCCTCCTCGCGAATGGCGGCGTCGAAGATCAGGCGGATGGTGTATGCGAAGCTATCATACGCCACCAAGATATTTTCGTCAAGGGGTTTGTCCATTTGTTAACTCACTTTGAGAATCCTTGCATTTGGATTACTGATACGCTTGTTTATGTATGTTTAGTGGGAACATCACAATGATCGGGCAGATCATACAACTTGCTACTATTCTTGGTGAGTGTTTAGCTCCTAGTCCCGAGAAAGTATGTTAATGCCCACAACTTAGACAACGTTGGACTGTACGTCTTCTCCATCCTCTTTCTAATCAAACTATTTAATTTTTCCCCTAATGTTCCTTCATTTTCTCCGACGTCTCCATTCAATCTAACTCATCTTTTCCGCTTCTAGCCGTGCAAACCTGATCCACCCAGACCTAATCGCAACAACCTGCGCCGCCTTCCCACGCAAAGGCTGGTCCAACTGCTTCTCACGCACAATCGAGAAAGAACTCACACTCAAACCATGGTGTCACACTTCGACGTTCGAAATACCCAATTGGGTCGAAGGTGTTCAGAGTAACTTTGCAACAGACGTTCGTGGGAACAGCGTCATGGCGAAATATGATTGATTTTTTTTGTGACTGTGGGATGTGGGCTACGGGACTGGGTACAATGGAATCAATGATTATTGACGAGTGGAAATAACGGTGAAATGCGCAATACTCGAGGAGGAGCGGGTGAATAATGTAGCATTAACAATGTTGATTTTGGAGATAAATTCATACTGTGATTATTCCTTCCGTAAAACCTGTATTCGAACCGTTTTTTGATCAAGGGTCAAAGGCTGGACGAAAAGAGAAACTATTATACATTCTCGTTAACATCGAGACGCCCAGATTGGCTGTCAAACCATAAAGCATAGCTGTCGTAGTCAATTATAATGGAAAAGTTTCATATTGTCTATCGCCTGCGTGCCATCGCAAAAGCACCCTCGTATCCATGTGTTTCAGCTGGCGTGAGTGTATCTCGCCAGCGTCCCACCAGATATCCTTTACTCTCAGCTATTTCTCCTCTTCCTCTCCCTCCAACTCCTCGTTCAAAGATTTCAGAACCTCCACCGACGAGGTATCCTCGATATAACCAGCGACCACGGTCTCCACCCGTCTACGATGATACAATATCAGCGTCGAGTACAGAAAAATGGAACAAAGGCAAGAGAAAGGGACTGACGTATTCTTTCAGTATAGTGATAAAGCCATCAACTGGTCTCACACGTCCTATCAAGCGGAACTCTCCCCATCCAGAATGTCCTTCACCTCTGATTAGGATATCAACCACCCGAGACGCATATGATCCTCTATCTGCACCGATTTCAGCTGATGATTTCTCGATGCTTCCATTAACCTCATTCGACCCAGGTCCCGGATAGCGCGTGTAATTATACACCAACGGAGGCGGATCCGTACCAGATGAATAAGATGAAGGTGGAGGAGAGTAAGAAGACGGTAAGGTTATGCGTAACCAAGACGGGTCATCTTCGATGGAGTAACCGTCCGGAATGTGAGCGAAGACCGGGTCGCCAATTGGTAGTGGAATCGGATCGTTTGTGGTACCATTAGACTGTGTTGTAGGGCCGGAATTTGACGAATTTAATGATGAGAAAGGGAGAGACGAAGAATTGGAAGTCGAAGAGGATACAGAAGAAGCGACCGGTGCAAGCAAATGATACTCGCGTATGCGCCAAGTTTGGCTGTGCTGCCCGATCAGGCAATCTTGTAGCTTTGACGGCTTGGCGCCAGCAAGGAGAGCAGCGAAGCTATGGAACTCAGTATACTTGATTTTAGAGCGTTAGATTATTGCGCTGGCTATCAAGAAAAACAAGGATACTTACAGTGAAGGTGCCTTCCCACGACCCTTCAAAACTACCAGGTTGGTATGCCCTGTATCTTCGTTTCTCACTACGTCTTCGTTTCAATCCATTGGAATTCGTCCCCGCTTTCAAGTTTTGCTCGTCCGCCGTGCCAAATGGTACACCGTTTTCATCAACTGCATACACCATCCGTAGCCACTCATACTCCCAACGGTAGCTGTCGATACGTGCACCTGACTCTGCGACTCTGAGCGAATCATTAAGGGAATATTCATCAAACATCTCTTCACTCCGGCCTGTACGGAAATTCCGAAGCCAATTGGTGTCGAAATGTCTCATATGCCCAGGCAGCGCGATGAACGCCTCTGCAAGAGACGGGCCCAATAGTTCTAGCAACTCAAGGCCACCTTCGATGGTATCGGCATTTCGCCTATTTCGCGCATGCAAAGCGAGTAACGCTAAATTCGCAGGCACCGCAAGCGGTGGGGGCGTCAATCTGGGCAGAGGGTAAGAGAAATACGTAAAGGGTAGTTCTGCAGAGGACTGCTTCGGTGACGAGTTCAAGTCTGAGCGTGGGTCAAAAGGCACCGTAGTCGGCTCCCCTGGGATGCCAAAATGGAACTGCAGTGGTTCTGGATTAAATGATGTCCAAGGGAGATGAGTCAATGGATACTTCAAACAGGAAACAATGAGTGCGCAATTTTAAGGGAAGCAAGGATAAGAGAACATGCCAGGGGAGCATTGAGAGAGACAAGCTTGAGAATCGTCTCTGCACGCCGGTATAAGTCTGCATTTGCGACGTATGCAGCTGCACATTTCTTAATAATTAGAATACATGCTCCAGTTTAACAGAGGGTATGCACACAAACCAGGATCAAGGAAGAACCAAAGCAACCACATTGCAAGGGCATGCCTTGTCTTCTGTGGAACATCCTTGCTATATGCTGGGGCGACTGGCCAGCGATCAATGGAAAACGCGCGGTTCGCGCCAGACGCCCCTTGGGCTTCGAACCAGAAAACGGCAAGCCATGCATCTATTCGTGCATGGCGAAGTTGCGCAGTGTTCCGTCCCTCGTCTTCAAGTACCATTAAGAAAGCTGTCCACAAGAGCTCATCGAGCTTATCACTTGCATCCGTATTTGTATCAGGGGTATTGATCATACTTTCATCTCCAGGTACATCATTGGAACATCGAGCATGAAGCTCAGTGCGCAAGTACTTGATAATTGTAAATCGGCGGATGAGTTCATCTGCAAGCGCATTCACAGAAACGACCGAAGTGGTATCGTGCTTAAAGAGGCGTGCAAGTCGGCGACGTGGCGCTGCAAGATCAAACTTAGCTACGAAGATACGCCCATAAAGATGTGGATTAACAGAGCGGCGAAGAGATGCGTTCGTCGACCGGCACAGACATAAGAGAGGCAGTAGACCTGAGGGAGGGCCAAGCAGTGAATGTGTACCAGAGAAGTAAGCTATGTAATCCAGAACATCGGGAGGCAGGGTATCGAGCATCGCGGGCAGAATCAACTCATATCTCAAACAAAGCAGGTTTCTAACGCATGGTCGTCTGCAAGCGAGATATTATCATTACGTCATGTTTCGCACGCTCAACGTTTGACGCCCGTACTGTAACTGAATTGATTCTTGATGTTGAACTGAACTCTATCACCTTATTTCATCCCAACGCCCTCTGATTTGCTGAAGCAATAACTCAATGACTCTCATGAGTCACATCATGTACGGGGTGATGATGAATAGACCGGGAAGGCAAGGTAGGGAGTATGCACGTGCGTACTTCTAAGCTCAACCGGAAAGGAGCATTCGACGTTACCAGACTGACCTTCACCATGTCCAGGTTAATTCAGCTATTTCACTTCACTAATTCTCTGGAGTCCAGTAACATGAAACAACCTCAAGCGACGACCGACCACCTAATTTCGTGCCTATGCAGGCAGCTGCCAGCATTCGCTATTGTCCCTTAATCAGAAGTTAGTCATGATCGCTGACGAAATATATGAATTGGCTTGCGAGTCACCATATAATTGGCATAATACGCCAAATTTAGTCTTTACCAAGCGTATCTCATGCATCGATAATGGACCAAGGACAAGTATCTGCACTAGGATTTGACCCAAACTTCGTCTTTCCAGTCCGCAATCTCGAGACTGCCCGAGTAAAACTCACACCATTCAATGTACGTGCTTTTTAATCGATCCCCATAGTCGCGTTTGTCGATTGATCGTACCTACATTCTGTAGCCTGCAGTGCATGCCAAAGAGTTTTATGAGAAAGTCAAGGCTCATCCAGGATTGTACCGGTACTACTTCTCTGTTAATCCTCCCGAATTACTTGAAGACTTCGCAAATAATTTCGTCGAGAATATGATACTTAAAGATCCAAGAACGGCCATCTTTGTGATATTCGATAAATCTGGTAAGGGACACTTCCCAACTAATCCGGTCACTCTTAATGTTTTATCTTATTTCAGGGGAATCACCTCAGCTAGCAGGGATGATTTCTATGGTAGAAACAAACATGACCCACCAAAGCATATAAATCGGATACATCATGACTTTTCCAAAATTCCAGCATACGCACGTCACATCGAAAGCCCTCGGGTTGCTCCTACATTACTGCCTCGAACTTCCCTCCCATCTTGCCAAGGGCGAACAAAAGTATGGTCCGGGACTTGGTTTACGACGTGTTCAATGGGAAGCAAATACATTGAACACACCATCAATCCGCCGTGCAGAACGCATGGGATTCAAGAAAGAAAGGCATACTTCATTGGCATCTTGTCCTTTTGGAAGGAAAACCTGGCACTCCTCCCTCTGCGCAACGCGGAGCTTTGCGTAGCGGAAGTGGTCGCCATGAATGTGTTTTATCGCTATTCTGGGATGATTGGGAACTTGAAGGAGGCCGTAATTTGGTTCAGCAGCAAATGGACTGCTTCTAGCAATCGGCAAACAATACGCCACTAAAATTGAAGGATTCAATAGATTGAACAATACGTGCGATAAAGAATCATGTTTCTTTATCCTTCCTTGTTAGGCATGACGATGTTATGGTGGTATTAAATAAAGTGGAAACAGCTGATACAGACAGTAAATATTGGCCCAAGGCCGTACAGGATCATCCGCAGCATAACACTCAATATAATTGGCATTGCTTCCCGCGATAGACGTCCAGGCACTGTATGTACTCAAGTACACGTACTTCAAATACAGGAGATGGCGGGATGGTCATCCACCTGATCTGCCTGTCTATTCGTTTGCTTCAATGAACATCACAACCCTGCCACTTTTTACCTGCAAAACATTACGAATAACTTATGAAGCCTGAGAAGCCCGTTCGAATCGAGGGGCGTTTCCTCGTAGGTTATGACTGCTTGTGTAATCGATCTCTGCCGGTCGAGTCACATCTTGATCCTTGATTCTCAACACCCGAGTACCAAAATAGCGCAGCACAACTTAGCCGCATTATAGCTACGCTCTCAACTACCACACTTCCCAAGATGTCCCAAGAGGAAACGTCCACGTCGGAATTTAATCCTAACTATGTTTTCCCCCTTCGCGACCTGGAGAGTGAACGAGTTAAACTCACACTATTTAATGTTTGTCCCGATTTGCTATCGACTTTGCACAATGTTGTCATTGGACGTAACCGACTATATGCACTCTTTTCCCTTCTAGCCTGAACTGCATGCAAAAGAATTCTTCGAACAAGTGAAGCCGCATCCCGAGCTGTTCAGGTTCTACTTTAACGTTAGCCCTCCAACATCGGTCGAGGACTTCGTCGACAACTTCTTCGAGAGCAAGATGCATAAAGTAGAGACGAATGCTACGTTCGCAGTATTTGATAAAACAGGTAAATCCTCCCGTTTAGCATCATATTTATTCACCATACCCCACTCTTACTATTCATTCACTTAGGAGAATCTCCTCGGCTCGCAGGAATGATATCTTTAATATACACTAACACGACCCACCAATTCTGTGAAATCGGCTACGTTATGACTTTCCCAAAGTTCCAGCGAACGTACGTCACATCCAATGCGGTGGGGCTACTCCTACATTACTGTCTCGAGCTCCCTGCGCACCTCGCCAAGGGTGAACAGAAATATGGTCCAGGACTCGGGCTGCGTCGTGTGCAATGGCAGGCCGATTCCCAGAATTCACCGTCCATCCGATGTGCAAAGCGCATCGGCTTCAAGTGGGAGGGCATAATCCGCTGGACTCTCATCCTCTTGGAAGGGAAGGGTGGTTCTCCTCCTTCTGCAGAGCGTGCAGGTCTGCACCCTGGAGACGGTCGCCATAATGCTATCCTTTCGATGTGTTGGGATGATTGGGAGCTTGAAGGAGGGCGCGAGCACGTACAGAAGGAAATGAATCGTTTGTAGGAAACGGTTTACAACAAGAACTTGGCAGTGAAAGAAAGAACAAAGCAAAGTCAATGTATATGTGTATCGGAGTATTCTAACTATCAGAAACGGCGGGTCCTTTGACACACCATGCCAATGAGTGCGACACGACCAAATTCTCAATTAATATTTAAATAAACAAGCGCCCGCCAGAATCTATATGCGCGTACTTCAAAAAATGTATCTGAAGTGCTTCTTTATATCTAGATCCCGCGCTTATACTACTAACCATGCGGTCTTATCGGTCCACAAGTCCGGGAAATGGCGGGATGATACAGCCACCTAACCTACCTGTTTACCCGTTTGCTTCCATGAACACCACAGTTATGCGCTTCTTTCTTGCGCAATGATTTATGAAAGCCTATGGTTATAAATTTGGTTCAAGTCGGTGGTTTCCTCGACGTGTTGGGTTGATTGTGTAATCTATTTCTTTCAGTCGAGTCACATCTTGATTCTCAATATCCGAGAATAAAAGACGCAGCACTGGCTCACCGCGTTATAACCACATATACTCATGTACACTCTCAACTGCCACATGTCCAAGATAACTCAAGAACCAAAGCTCGGGCCAGAATTCGACCCGAATTTCGTCTTTCCTCTTCGCGATCTGGAGAGCGAACGAGTTAGGCTCATAGCATTCAATGTTTGTCTTGTTTTGTTGTCGACTCTGCACAATGTCAACGTTCCCGATCGACACAACTGACTATATGCGCCATTTCCACCTTCTAGCCTGAACTACATGCCAAAGAGTTCTTTGAACAAGTGAGACCGCATCCGGAGCTGTACAAGTTTTACTTTTCCGTCTATCCTCCTACATCGCTCGAGGATGTCAAGGACAACTTCTTCGAGAACAAAATGCACAAAGATCCAACGACGGCTACGTTTGCAGTATTTGATAAAACAGGTCAGCTCTTCCGCTGACCACTGTATTCATCCCATCCAACTAGTCTTACCATGTGCTTAGGAGAGTCTCCACAGCTCGCTGGAATGATCTCCCTTATATACACAAACCTCACCCACCAATTCTGCGAAATCGGATACGTAATGACCTTCCCAAAGTACCAGAGAACGCACGTCACGTCCAACGCCGTCGGGCTGCTCTTACACTTCTGTCTCGAGCTCCCTGCACACCTCGCCAAAGGTGAACAGAAATACGGTCCAGGACTCGGGTTGCGGCGTGTCCAATGGCAAGCCGATTCACAGAATTCTCCGTCCGTTCGCTGTGCGAAGCGCATGGGCTTCAAGTGGGAAGGAATACTCCGCTGGACTAACGCCCTCGTGGAAGGGAAGATCGGTGTTCCCCCCTCTGCGGAGCGTGCAAGTCTGCACCCCGGAAACGGACGTCATAACGCGATTCTTTCGACATGCTGGGATGATTGGGAGCTTGAAGGAGGACGCGAGCACGTGCAGAAAGAAATGGATCGCTCGTAAAAGATTAACTTGTAATAAGAACATAGAAGTTTGAGGGAAATAACGAAGCAAAGGCAACATGTATGCGTATTGGACATTTCTAATTGTCAGAAACGACAAGCGGTTCGCTGTTCTATGCCGATGAGCGCAATGCAACCAAATCAAGTGGAAGCACTCGAGTCAGGTGAAGAACAAACGGGCACTGCGGCCGCAGGACTCTCAAATTTCGTAAGGCCTAGCTCATCCGACTTAATCAGTAATGCCTAAAATGTGGTGCAATGTCAAGAAACTATTGCCATAAATATATAACAGAATAGTTTACTCACGAGCTGTTTAGACATGTACCGCGAGTGGTAGAAGTCTCCAGCTGCGTACCAGAGCTAAAGGAAAAACATCAGCATCCGGGGCAAAGTTCACTCCGAGCAATGCTCTTTAAAGCGAACGCTAGCAGACATAAGCAAAGCAGTGATGCACTAGACTCACTCCAGGATGTCCAGAAGGTCGATAACATCCTCTCAATTCTCCTTCATTGTCAAGGCCCCAGACTTCACTCGTCCGATCGATCGTTTCCGCTCCGAATAGTTTGCTCATCGACGGTCGGATGTTCTCGTATCCAGTCCTAAAGTAGACGAGTAATGAAGACAGAGAATAGGTATAAAAATTGAAAAACACGCACGCGAATATGACCACATCGACATCCAGAGTTGATTTGTCTGAAAACTCGACAGTAGTCCCGTTCTCGTCGAATTTTGCGATCTCGACATCGGACTTGACCAAGATTGCTCCGCGCATAATAAGATCTGCAGCGCCGACATCGATCCCTGCATAAGCAATGAGCGAAGTCACGTTTACTTTACTCAGATCATATACGGAGAAACCGCGTACATACAGTAACCTCCAAGACGTTCATACACCAACTCCCGTCTCCCTCCCCCACCCGGTCCATCCGTCGTCCTAAACCCCCTCCTCTCAAGTCCCTTCCTCAGCGCCCCATCTATCCTCGCCCTCCTCTCCCGTTCACTCTCAGACCTCGCAATCCGCCCAGCCAACCCAAGTGGCATACCCGCCACCCGAAAATCACTAATCTCAACAGGCACACCCTCAGGCCAAGCCTGAAACTCCGTATCTGCAAGTTTCCGCGAGACGACGAGTGTAGGGTGCCGTTGGAGCATAGTGATAGATGCGGCTTTCCCGCGTTCGTGCAGGTCTTGAGCGATATCTGCTGCTGTTGTTCCGGATCCGACGATTAAGACGCGTTTTCCGGAGTATGCTCGCCCGCCGTTGTATGTAGAGGCGTGTAACGTCGTCCCTCGGAAGAGATGAAGAGTTGGGATTGTAGGGATGAATGGATCGCCCAATGTTCCCGTCGCGAGAACAATATGTCTTGGATGAATAGTAAGCATCGTCCCATTCCAGGAGAGTTTCACTTTCCAGCGGCGCGCCGAAAAGTCATATTCTGGTCCGGGAAGCAGCGTTGTCGAAGTCCAAACGACAAGATCCTGCGACTCCGCGTAATATTCCAACCAAGAAGCAATCTTATCGCGTGGTGTGAAAATAGGCCATGTACGAGGATAAGGAGCGTATAGCACTGTGTAATGCGCATTTCAAAGCCGCGAGAGAGTGTTCGTTTAGTGATGGCTCGGTAATTGATCAAGTTTGTTGTTCCTCAATGGATATACATGAGAAGAGAAACTCACAGGTATGATGCGTCCTCGGCGTATTCAAACTAAGCGTCGGATACCTCTTCCGCCAATTATCACCAACACGTTCATTCCGCTCAACTACAATCGTCCGAATGTTCATCTGTTTAAATCGTGCAGCTACCTGCAATCCGGTCTGTCCAGCGCCAACTATCACAACAACAACAACAGCAGCAGCAGCAAAAAGGCAGAAAAAATTCAGAATATTAACATAGGCTGCACAGCGGAAGAAATATGAAATATGAATGTTTTGAAAGACTCACTAATTAGAACCTGAGGATCCGCCTCTATCGCCTCTTGTCTCGCAGCCTTAATCTCCTCCCATGCAATTGTATGTCCGGCATAAAGTCCCAACTCATACCCTGCCTCTTCGTGACCCTTTATATCCTCTGCAGCGATATACACCGATAACGCTCTCCAATTATTATCACTATTCACATCCTCACTCTGGGTCGTGTCAAGCTGAAGCCGCACGAACCCTCGCCCAAAAAACACATCCGTCTCAAACACAAACCCCGCTTCCACACCCTTCACCTCCCTCGATAGCTCAAACGCTCTCGGCCCAAGCCCCAGCCTTTCATCATCCAATCTCATACTCCCCTCTACAAACCTCGCCCTCGGTAACCGCTCCTCCAAATACCCCTTTATTTTATCTCGTCCTTCAAGAGACCTGACATCCCAACTCAAAACCAGCGAGTCGCGTAACCAACCCTCAGGAAGAAACAGCTCGCATATCGCAGATACATTTTTTCTTTCGATAAGCGCGAAAGAGAAAGCGGATAACCAGTTTAGAGCTACTTGACGAGGTGTCCTAGCCTGCATTATTATATCTTGCTACGAGAGTGCGTACTTGGGATATTAAGCGCAGACATTCAGCAGGACGCTCCTGGTCCCAGTCCAGAATCCAGAAATACACAGGAAATTCGCCCACGGCATGGCGTGCTCTTGAAGACCACGAGTTCACACAAGACAGATAGACACGGTCCGTCAGCGGGAACGAGCGGAACAAATTTATGAGTAGATAACACGTATCAAGGGCCATGCCGCATCTTCGTATATATTCACGCTAGCCCACATAGTGTCGTGTCCAGAAGCTAGTAATATTGCAACTCAAGAAGCTGTTGGTCATAACATAGGACGCGTGCTAAGATCTAAAGTGAGGCAAGGATTTTCGTCCATAGTAAATAAACACAAACAATTGAGAAACAATATTTTTTAAATCAATGCAAAATCATGTATTTATTTCTACACAACGATTCCCCAATACATGCGCGCCTATTGACAATGTTCGTTATTTTTGTGGAAATTTGGACAGAAACAGAATATGAAAGGACAGAAGAACCACATTTTTCACAGCGTCCATTTATCTGTCTACCACCACGACACTTGTAAATTGTGTTGACAAAACCTTTCTCCAGACTCGCGGGAGGGCAATTTGGAAGTGAACGTTCAGTGAACCTTGCACGGCTCAATGTTCCAGTACTCATCGGCATAGTTCATGATGGCGCGATCGGAGCTGAACTTGCCCATCTGCATCGCGGAAAGGTAATGCACGGGGAAATAAACAAGTTAGTTCTTCAGTAAAAATGGCGGGGTGGAACGCATATACGGACCTTCGCGCTAGTACGGATACTCTTCTTGATCCACTCTGTGCGGTCTTGGTACGCTTCATCCACCATCGCAAGGGCTTGGATGTCTAGAATGGGTTATTCTGTCAGCAAATGTTCGACGTCCAACGAAGAATAGACAACTGACAAGAATCGAAGTCCTCTGTGATCAAGTAGTAGTCACCGGTTCTAATGGTGTTGAGGAGCCTATACAAATGAAATTGGAAAGTGAATATGGTCAGAGTTGGTTGATAAAGAATCCCAGAGACGACATACGGTTCATAAACATGACCATCACCGAAGCGGCCTGCAGAAATTTCGTTGAGCACTACTGCTAGCGCGGGAGATTTCTCCTCTACAGGAACAGGGTGCTTCAAGAAGCAAAACTTAAGTCTGTAGCCTTCCCAAATGAAAGACAAAGTGCGCTTACGTATGTGTGCTGATAACGCAACTCCTCGACCGCGGGTGTCAAATGTCCGAAGAAGACTATGTAAAGCAAAAAGTTAGGTGCACTACACGCCATGTATGCATATACAGGATCCCAACTCACAGACGTTACTCTCGCCAACTTCTTCCGCAATCTCAATGTTCGCACCATCGACAGTACCAAGCAACAGTCCTCCATTCAAGCAGAATTTCATGTTACTCGTACCAGACGCCTCAGTTCCTGCCGTACTGACTACAAACATGAGTCCAGAGTCAGAAACACGCCATTGATATAGGTAAGAAAGGATAAGAAAGACGTACTATGTTGCGACAAGTCCGAAGCCGGAATAAGGGTCTCCGCAAGGGAAACCGAGTAATCCGGCAAGAAGAACATCTCAAGATAGTCCTTGGTATCGGGGTCAGCGTTGATGACACGCGCAACGTTCACAATTAGACGGATCGTGAGTTTGGCAATGTAGTATCCTGGAGCGGCTTTCCCAGCGAAGAAGACAACGCGAGGGTTGACCTTCTTCCTCTGTTCAGGGGTCATCGCCTTCAAAGCCAGGTAACGCTAGGATCAGACCTGTCAGCATTGGTCCAAGATAAGAGTCCGACAGAAGTGTCTTACATGGACGACCCCGAGGAGGTTCAATGTTTGACGCTATGAAATAGAAGTCATGTCAGGCGATGTTCTCGGGGATGACATTATTAATAGTACCTTGTACTCATGCAGACGCTTAATCTGTACATCGAACATCGCCCTCGTGTTGACTTTGATCTACAAAGCGCTCAGTCCACAATCTGCGCAATCGATTAGGATTAAATGCTAAACGTACCCCGAGCTGGTTCTCAACATAACGAGCAAGTCGCTCCTTGTTGTTCTGCTTGACTGCAGCCCACTTCTTTTGGAAGTCCGGGTCATCCGCATGCTTAAGAAGACCCTCAAGCCGGAACAGGTCCTTCAACCATACTTCCTTCGGTAACTTGAGCGTCTCGGTGATGAGGTTCGACAGTAGTGGGTTGCACTGGTCGAGCCAACGGCGTGGAGTGACTATGCAAAAGTGTGATCTCAGATGCTTTCATAAATATTTATTGGTAGTCAGTGCTCACTGCCGTTAGTAACGTTGGAGAACCTGATGAAATAAGAGTTAGATTGACTTCAGCAAAGCATAACAAACACTCACTTGCTAACGCCATAGAAATCCACAAAGTCCTTGAAGATCGTCGTCTTCACGAGCTCACTATGCAGCTCCGCAACACCATTGACTTTCCGACTGGCAATACATGCAAGGTTTGCCATGCGCACATACTGCGGAATACCCTCCTGGATGAGCGACATGCGTGCAAGCCTATCCCTGTCTCCAGGGAACTGCTTCTCAACTTGTTGGAGGAAGAACAAGTTGATATCGAAGATAATCTGCATGTGACGCGGTAAGAGGTGTTGCAAGAGCGGGACAGGCCATTTCTCAAGTGCCTCCGGAAGGACTGTGTGGTTTGTGAAGAAGAAAGTGTTTTGAACAAGGTTCCATGCCTTGTCCCATGGGACATCCTCCTCATCAATGAGTAGACGCATCAATTCAGGGATAGCCAAAGTCGGATGAGTATCGTTCAGCTGAATAGCTACGTAATCTGGGAACTCTTCAATTGGCTTGCCTAGGTTCTTGAAACGACGAACGATATCGCTCAAGCTAGCTGCAGTCCAGAAATACTGTTGTTTAAGGCGCAGCTCCTTGCCAACCATTGTGTTATCATTTGGATACAAGACGGAGGTAATGGTCTCCGCATCGTTCGAGGACTGCACAGCTCTCTCGTAGTCGCCCGCATTGAACGAGTTGAAATCAAAGCCGCGAACGGGTTTACTCTCCCAGAGACGCAAGTTGTTCTGTAGCAGAATATAAATTTAGTTCACTGTCTAGAAAAATGAATAATAGCATATATACCGTCGTTTTGGTATGATATCCCGGGATCGGAACGTCATAAGCAACGGCAATGACCTCTTGACCACCACTCCAGATAGCCTTGCCATTGTCAAGTCGCTCAGAATGACCATAGAAACGGATTTCAACGGTCACATCGGTACGCGGAAGTTCCCACGGGTTGGTGTTATTTAACCACGGATCAGGTGCCTCGAGCTGAGAACCATCAGAGGCAATCAACTGTTGGAAGATACCGTATTTGTAGCGCAGACCATAGCCCCACACGGGAAGCTCAGTGCTCGCGCTAGAATCAAGGTAGCAGGCGGCGAGCCGGCCAAGACCACCGTTTCCCAAGCCTGCATCGCGCTCAACATCTAAAGAACCAAATTGAGATTGGATTTTGTCGCGAAGTACAAAACTAGTGCAGCTGACCGATGAGGTCCTCGAGGTTGAAGCCCAATTTTTCGGTGGAATCCTTGAACTCATTCTTAAGACCGAGGTTAAGAAGCGCATTGTCGAGCGCACGTCCCATAAGGAATTCCATGGATAAATAATACGCACGCTTTGGCGCGGAGCGTGTGTATTGACTTTGGGTATCATTCCAGTTCATCTGTAGATCAAAACCAATACGTCATATATTTGTAGGCTATATGCGCGAGATCTAGAGCATACAATGAGGTCATCGCGCGCAGACAGAGAGACCGCCTGATATGCGCCTGGCTCGTCGAGGTTGTACGCTTGGCGAGCGAGCGAAGTCTGGACATGGTTCACAATGGACTTGGATATGGATGGGACGTCTGTAATGAAATCGCGTCAGAGCCAAGGAAGAAAGCGCTCGATCGTAGATGAACTTGCCAACGTCGACGCCGCGCAAACACTCCTTCCAGGTCTTCTCGTCGCCGCGAGGCCATATTTCCTTGCCCTGTTCGTCTTTGTCGCCAATAAATCCTGTATATATGCGCGTTCGTCAGACATAATCATGAACGCTGATCACGGGGTGGCGAGAGAGCAATAAGCCATACCCGTGAGAGAGCGGACATGGCGGCGCTGGCGCTGCTTCGGCTGGCCGATCTGCTTGGTGTCGATGGTGGAGGTCATTGTGGAAGACGCGCTTGGACAGACGACGCGTCTAGGAGGGAGGTAGCAGAAGAAAGGCGGATGGACTTAGACGCACGTTGATAAATGGCCCATCATCTATCGCGAAGGTCGGCCAAGTGGCGAGCTCATCCGAACGTAGGCTTCGGTTGGCCCAGAATGGCAAGCGTTATGCCATAAGCAGGATGATATTCAACCCATGACCGTACATCTATAGATTCCAGGTCGTTCTATTCATTTGCTTTACATCTTAGAACCTCCTTGGAGTATCACCGTCTTGCTTCTGCAGTCAGAATTCTACCTCTCCTCTCCATCCATGGAACTTACAAAGTCTCCAAGGTAACTCAATGATCCCTTGTGTGCATGTTGATTTGTTTGTTTGCTTCCGACGGTTTATTTCTTACGGAGAAACACAAGTTTCACTTTCGTAAGTTCTATAAACAGACAAACCGATCCCTTACTACGCCACAAATGCGAACGCCGAATGCAAGTGTATAAGAGAGCTCCAGAGATATCTCAACCAACCTTCCTACGACGAGCGGAAAGCCAAGCTCCAAGTCTATCGGGAAGACGAGATGAAGAACGGTTCTTAGGAACGTGCTCCGAGAAACATCTCACTGACGCCGAATGAACGCTACTCTAGGCTGTCCTACTCTTGTCCCTGTTAAACTTACGGCACCTCATCAGTCTAGCATTGCTCTTACTTTCATCCGTCTTCCCGGCGCAGCAAGTGCCAAGAGTGACGCCGACTCGGAACTGCGAATGGAGTACTAGAACTCAGCCTTCGTCCTTTATTACTGCTGTTAGTAACTTACTGCCTCGATGTCTAGCTTTGCTCCGTCGAGACGTATTTTCACCTCACGAGTCACCAATATCGCCGGGACGAGGCACCCTTCGAGATGCAGAGAAGTCGCCACAAGAATACTGCACTTTAACTACCTCCCGAGGTTACAGCGGTTAAGAACAGTCTACCTGGACCTAGATTCATTCACTCGCATACCACAAGAATCCAAAGTCCCATAAATTACGGCGAATAGCCAATCTTCCATTCGACCAAGTTATAGCTACAGAGCCAATCAAAGAAGAAGAAGAGACACTTACAGAGCCAGCTATTCAGAAATAATTCCCATTATTCCTCCTCTCACCCAAATCCATATAACTCTGACTCCCAACACTAGACATCATCCTCGTCCTCCCTTCCCTAAAACTATTCATCGGAATAACATCATCCTCATCTACACTCCACGTATGGAACCCCAATTCCGGACGCACGTCCTTCCCACGTTCGCCCTGACTCTTCGACCATACCGTACGCGAATGAATTCCTAGAGTTGAGAGGATGGCTCTCCCGGCTCTGTTGAGAGCTGAAGAGACTGAGGAGATGAAGCTTCGTGGAGGACGAGCTGCTTCGCTATGTCCATCTGGGAAGACAAAGCGAACGCATCTCTTGGATTTTCGTCGTGGTAGCCAAGAGAGTCTTGATGGCATACTAGGTTTCGGAGGAGGAGTCGGATCAGAGAGGTCTGGATTCGATTTCTTCATGATTGATCGTAGAGGACGGAGCTTAGGTCTTTTCGTTGAGAAACGGCGGTGATGGTGTTGAGGTGTAAAGAGCGTAGATTGAGTCTCCCTGTGTGAATCAGACTCATTATCATTCCTAGTTGAGCTGGAGTTCACAGTAGGAGGAGGATAGCCAGAAAAGAGCGTGGTTGAAGTTCTGGGACCGTCAGTGTTGTTATTTGAAGGAACGCTTGGAGCTTGTCTTGGAGGTTCGAGGTCGTTGATAAAGGAGTAAAGCTGTGGGTCATTCCAGATATTAGCCGAACCACCTTCTACATAATCCAAAGTCAATTTATCGTTCCTATATGCATTATGAGCTGAGGGATTCATTTAGGTGAAAGGTAGCATGGAGGTTAGAGGGTATACCATTTGCCTTGCAACTTCCGAATCCATATGTAAGACTTGCCGCACAGTAGCTCCTTGGCAACCTCCTCATTTTGCAAGGCACGCTCTCCACTTTGCACAGATACGTCCAACACGGGCTTCAGGCACGGCAATACAGATAATGAGACATATTTTGCACGTGCATCAAGGAGAGGGATTGCCTGAAATTCCACAAGTCATATAATACATATCTTCCTCCTAGTTAACTTTGCGGTCGGTCAGTTAAACGTTGCGGTGCAATGGAGCTGTTGTTAGACGTACCATACCACATTACATTAATATTAGCCTTTATTACGGCGACTGCTCCTTCCGAATCTCATCTAACATCCGCCGTACACCATCAACGTCCCCAACACTGGCCCTTCCACCCATCCAATCTACCACGATTGGCCATTTCAATGCCCCAGGATTCGACCGCGCAAGTTCAGTCAACGTCTTCGACGTTACTTGTCCATCGGATGCGACGCCAACGCTCGAGGGATGTGACGAGATGAACGTCGAAGCAATTGAAGAAGGAGAAGAAGCTGAGGTTGAAACTGGTAAATACGCAAGGATTGTCTGCACTTGATCAGGCGTAGGCGCGGACTCGACGACTTCCAGGTCAAACTCCAATGGACCTGCTTTAGGATTACTTGGCGGGTATGGGTTGATTAAGGATGAGCGTAGAAGCTCGAGCGCACGAGAGGATTGTGCGGAGGATGGGTGATGACTATGGATATGCTCATGAGGACGTTTTACGCTCGTCTAAAGTCTCTGCCTACGAACAATATGGAAACTGCTGGCTGGTGATAATAAAGTGTTCAGAAAACATTACATTGTCACTATTTATTTGTTGATACGATGCAGACTCACCCTCGACTTGACGAATCCTCTGAACATGGTTCAACTTCAAGTCTTACACTTGTCGCGGAACGCACCGTGCCCTTCGTGCACGACTTCCTGTTTTGGTGATCGTCTATTACCAATTCCGGCGATTTGTATGTCGTTCATTAAATTAAAATAAATAAATAAATGTTCTCCTACCACCTGCTCTCTGTGAATTAGCTGGCCAAGACAACGAGACTCTAAAGAAGGAACTCCTGGTGATATTCTTGCTGCATCAGGAGAGTGGCTCTGCAGAGAAACGCGTTCTACTACTTTGTTTATTTCCAATTCTTTCATTGCAGGCACAAACTCATAGTATCATACACTTCCACTGCCAATGGTACATCCCGTGACCATCTAGTTTTAATAAGAATAGTTCATCCACGCAAAACAGAAAGCTTAGTTCATCAACTATGCAACAGCTACAGTCCGAGAGTTTACGCCATTCACCCCGCAATCCGTTAGGGACGTAAACAGTGGAGGAGGTACGACATCCTTGTAGGTGAACAAACCATCGATTACCACCCGAACTCTCGGTCCTCCAAGCTTCTCCTCCCGGTTCGCTAAATCCATGAACACCTTCAACATGTCGAAATGCAGAGTCTGTCCCCTCTTGTACGATTTAATACTACTCTCCGGAGATGGATATATCGATAGCAATTTGAGCGTACGAGGAAAACGTGAATGATATGGGTCTTTTCGCGAGCATAAGTTGGTGTGATCCGACCGTTTGTCAAGTTCCTCAAATGCGTGCTGTACTTCCCGTGAAAAAGAATACGCACTACGTATACCACGAACCTCAAGTGTCTCGAGTCTCGGGAATACCGCCTCAAGCGAGCGGTAGGATAGAAGTCCCGCCGGATTCGCGCTACCATCGAGGGAGAGATGCTCTAATCGGGGGAAATTCGAACGTGATGATCTCATCGGCGCAGTCGGAAATGGGTAATACCCTTTAATCGATAGTGACTCGAGACATGGCGCGGACGACATCCACAATACAGAGAACATGGAAGTCCCGTAAAACGGATTCGACAACTCTAACGCGAGCGCATATAAGGAAGGAGTGAGCAAGGCAAGTAGCTGAGAAATTGATGCCTTCAGCTGATGAAAGCTCTCGTCATCCATACAAGCGTCTACAGGTTTGTCTGATAGCGCCAGATATCTCACGCGTCGCTCTCGCTCCGGAAGCGTGCTGAAGAGAGTCCCAAGCCGGACAATTGCCTGCCCTCCGGAGACCCGCAAAGATTGATATCGAAAGGGTGTTACGACAGCATACCAGTACGATGAGACGAGGGACAAAGCCTGGACGATCGATTGCTCCCCGACAGAAGGAATCCCCTCACACGCGAAGTCAATTATTTGAGTATGCAGTTCCGGAGGGAGGTCTGATATATGCATCGCCGCTCGATTTCACCGCCAGAGCAGAGTACCTCAATTGTGGCTCGAACCCACGGGAGACGTCTTGGTGATTAGGAGGCGTCGTTGACGAGTACCTCTAAAGGTAGAAGGGATGACTCGATGCATCCTGAACTCATTTCTGGGTACTAAAGAGCTACATTTTGAATTGCTACATGATGACGGAAGAATTGAACATGAAGGCGTGCTCAAGAAGACGATCTGCAAGTGATCGGCGTAGTTGTAGGCCTTTTATAGTAGTCGCCCAAACAAACAAACAGTAGTAAACTCATATCATAAATCGTGTAGAATGAATGGCAGTCCTATTATTGTACCGAGTAGTTGTTAGCTGTATTTTTCATTGATCATTAGGATAATTGAAGCAGGAAACATAGTTATATACAGTAGCGGAAAGTATAAAGAAAGGTATAACAGTAAGGATCTGAGACCGTATCCGATTAATCATCTTAAAGAGGGGATGGATGGAATTGGCAGGAGTCCCTTACTTGAGGGAAGTCGGATTAGATGAATTAACAAAGGGTAAGCAGTAAAAATTATAGAGTAATAAATGTAGATTATTCGAGCCCCAAACATCTGTTTCTTCTTCACTCATCGACTAAGTCATCAAAATGCCTGTAAGATTCAATAAGCTCCTCTCTTTCCTTTCTAGCCTGCTTCTCCCTCTTCTTCTGTAACTTAGCAGCCTTCTTCTGTGCCTTAGCAGCATCCTTCTGTGCCTTCTCTTCTTCACTCTTCCCCTGGAACGGTTTGAAGAACGACAAGAGAACCCTCTTCACCTTCGCTGAAAACGGCTCGTAATAAGGCGTGGGCCGACGTCTCATAGGTGGATGTTCCTGATGACCTGGAGGAAGTACAAAGTGCACTTTGCGTCGCTTTGGATCTGGTTCGATGCCAGAGTTACTCTTGCGTTTGGATGCTGTTCGACCTGTTTCTGGGCGTTGAACTTTCTCGCTAGAGCGACGACCCCACGAAGGGAAAGATGGGCGCCAGGAAGGTACTCGGCGTTGTTGTTCGGTGGGATCAAACAACCCGGTGGACGTCGTTCCAAATGTTTGCCCACGATTCGCATAGTTGCCTGCTGATCCTCCAGTTGCAAGAATGGACGGCGGAAGTGGGAATTCACTCGGCGAGGGCGTAACAGCTGGTGCAGAGAACTGACGGCTGGGGAAGGCAGGGCGGTTCTGCTGGATATCGAGTTCGTCTACAAGTGGAGGAGGACGACGTTTGACACGTGTCGTGTTTTGCGGTGTCATCGGGTAGCCCTGGTAAGGAACATCTTGTTTGAACGACGTGCGCAACTTTGGCGTTGGGAGGGGCGTTCGAGGATCCGCATAAAAGTCGTCCATATGCCCACTGTAGGCCATACCGTACTCCTCCACTGTGGGACCGTCATCGGTGTCATAGTCCTTTTCTGAGAGTATACCCTTCGGAGTATAGAAGAGGTCATTTCCTATGTCCATGTCCAAAGTGTAATTCGACCCTGACTGGCCATTAGTAGACTGATCAACAGTCGGAGGCTCTTTTCTTGTTGTGAAATCCAAAGGAACATTATTCCCCCGACGAATACTCGCGCGCGGTAGCGGCCAATCTGGCGACAGTGTCCTATCGAAATCGTGTTCCGAGTTCTTCAGGATGGGCTTTCCTGGATCGGAGTCCCTGTGCGAAGGGTCCGACCGCCTGCGCTTACTCCACAACAGCACAGGGCTGAGACGCTTCTGTGCATCGAGGGGCTTCTCGGCTAACGAAGCACGAGGAGAGAGGCCCTGTTCAACCTGCTTCATGTACTCCAGCACATGCGGCTCGATCCTTGAAATGAAAAACGATCAGCGAGAAAAGCCAATGAAAGGCATGGTGAGACATGAAAGTTAAGACTTACTCGATTTTATCATCGGATGACATGTCTGTAGCTTCTCCCGTGCTGAGGGAGAAATGATGTCTTCAGCGTGCGTTCCTGGGTCGCCAGAGATGGACTATGTGCATTCCGCATACTCAAGGATATTTGAAAGAACAAGTTGGCGTGTGAGTCTTGTGCTGCAATACCCGCAGTAGCAAAGTCATGTTCGGCATGGACGTATGGACGTGTTTGCGCCTTGTAACCAAGTGGCCAGGTTTGAGTCTGATATCCAGTCCGTGTTGCTTTCTTGTACAGGAGTACTCGAGTGCTGAACTGTAGTCGAGAGTAGTAGGAATGTGTTTTTAATGCAGAACGTCCTAGATACAGGTGGAAGGCAGACTAAGACGGGTTTTACTAGTTTCAGCAAACCTCCCCAATAAGTGTGACCTCAAGGACCGTTGCATCCGACGAGTCGGGACTCAAGCAATGTAGACTCAGTCATTGTTATACCATAGAAGACGACCTTGTATATTGAGCCTTTTCATGAAAAACAAGAAGCATTATTCAATACCACTGTTTTCTCTTTGTATGAGGCACAAAGCGAAGAAGAGATGACGGTTGTGGGCGCAAGTGTGGCGTATATTAGAACCGGTTCTAGCCGGAAGTTGCCGGATAATCGGTACATCGACGCGGTTCTACCAGTTGTGCCCTCTCACCCATCTTTGCGTCTCCTCTCCTCTTGCTCACTCTACCTGCTTAGTCCCTTACTGTCTTCACAAGGAAACCATCTTAGCGTTTCGAACAGCTTATTTCCTGCGTATTGTCTGTGTGATTAGCCTTTTACTCGGTTCTCTGTGCGCTTGACGTGCTCTACACAGTCTCAGGCGCGTTCACGGAGCTCTTACACAGGCGCTCGATCCTTCAGGTCTCTGCTTTGCAGCGTTGCAAAGCCACACATCAGTACAAGAGGGGACAGACACATAACTAGGCATGGCGTCTACAGCTCACAATCTGCTAAAACGTGAGCTGAAGGAGCTAAGCACACATCCGATTGAAGGGTTCTCTGCTGGTAAGCGCTTTGTCTCCTCCTTACGATCAGTTCTGCTTGTAATCCTTGCCTGCATGCGGGTTGGTTTCGTCCTTCCCTGGCCGTATGCGGCTTTCATGAGCCGTGCGAACTTGCAGAAACTATCTCACCATGTCCACCCGTCCCGATACCTCCGAATCGGATCTGGCTTCGCCAGGATGGTCGACCAATTTGTACGAGCAAGACGTCATTGTCTTGCTTCTCGCAGTTATCAACGCAATCGCGTGTGTGACTGCAACGCATGTTGTGGCGAGAAGGACGTGGCTTATCATTGCGCATATATCCACCGACATTCTTCTTCGTGTCCGAGTCATTCGTATGAACCGTAGATTAATCTTCTATCCTATTTTCTAGGATTGAAGGGAGAAAACCTTCTCGAATGGCGAATTGTTATCATCGGGTGAGTAACTGTCTGCGCAGTTGTGGCGTTTTGAAGCAGGACCTGATTTGCAATTTTTACAAAGTCCACCCGATACACTCTAGTGAGCTCCTTACTTCTGTCACTCACTTAACTATTTTCCATACTCATGATTTCTGTAGTTCTGAGGGATTCTTTGTTGCTGAACTCCTCTTCACTGAAAACTATCCCAATGAGCCACCGACTATGAAGTTCATCACACCAATGTGGCACCCAAATAGTATGTGTCACCGTGTCTTTCCAAACTTTAAATATACTTACATAGCTTTTACACAGTTTATCCAGATGGGCGAGTCTGTATCTCCATTCTTGTGAGTCCTGTCTGGCCCTGATCATTTATACTTACAGTATTGACCTCAGTTTGCTTTTCCACCAGCATCCTCCCGGTGAAGATCAATATGGCTTCGAGGACGCCGGTGAACGATGGTTGCCCATTCACAGCGTCACATCGATTGTGAGAATTTTTTATCTTTTGTCATTTCAAATTGATAACAATCAACATATCTTTATAGATGCTTAGTGTTATTTCCCTACTATCTTCAGACGTACCAAATACGGACAGTCCTGCGAATGTGGATGCAGCGGTCAGTAAACGATTGTTGTAGCTCAAAATACTCTGATGTCTCATACTTTTCCATACTTTTCCCACTCGAACAGAAGGAGGTTCGGGAGAACTTAGCAGCATATCAGAAGAAAGTACGACGTTTGGCGCAGAAGAGTGTAGACATGTACCTTGAGACCATGGGCGAGTAGCCTTGGCCTGTAGCGTTCGTTTTCATTCACGAAATATTACGTGTTTCATGATGATTGTCGCGGGATACACGCATTCTGTTTTACCTCGTCCTTTCCCCCTGTCTCTGCACCTATTTCTTTGTCTTTTCTGGACGTGGGCCAGTCAAGCCCACATTTGTCCCCCGCGTCACCTTTGGCTCTTCCTATTTATCGGTTTCCTATTTAAATTCCCAGTGTTAAATTTCCTTCTCTCAGTTGGATTTCCCTCCTTGAGGAGAGTTGTATTGATGTTAAACCATGTGTTGAAATAAAACAAGCAGTCATGTACACCTAGAGTCTGCTGTATTTTGTTACATGTCTGGATCACGTGCTCCTACTCAGGCTGAAAGCCGCATCACAACTGTGTACAGTGTTCAGTGTACTTGTCGTTCTGCGTTGCTTGGTGCACGATGAGCACCGCTGAAGTTCTTTCCTCGGCTAACGACCTCCTTGCATCCCATGCCTCCCTTCTCGAGCATGTTCGAACAACACAACGAGCAAACCGGCGCGCCTTACGCGAATACGCCAACTCTCTAACCTCTGCGCCTGGCGCGTCCTCCGACGCCGCCGACTCTCTCAACGCAATTCTCAACCTCCCAACCATCCAGACTCCTCCACGTTCCTCTACATCATCCCCTTCTCCTCCACTCTCACCGAACGAGACTTATGTGTTATGGGGAGCGTCTACCGTCGTTCGTCCTAACCCACGTATTGTTCGTCCGGACTTAGCGCCCGCGAAGAAAGCGAGATGCACGAGGTATCATAATTATATACCTGAGGAAGAGACTATAAGGAATGATTATAGTCAGAGATACGTTGATGGGGGTGAGTGGCCGCAGGATTGGGTCGTTGGTGCTGAGATGGAGAGGAGGTTTGAGGAGTATGTCTTCGTCGTTATTAATTAATTAATCCTCTTTCTGAGTCTTCGTTTAATATGGTATTTCTTAGGTATCCCAAGCAACAACGCTTACTACAGCTTAAGAAAGCTGCAGTCACAGACCACGCAGTCCCACCCACATACCTTTCAATGCCCGCCTCGAAGACGGTATTACAGGGACTCAAGTTCGACGTTATACTGATTGACCCGCCATTCTCGTCTTCATTCAACTGGAAGCAGCTAGAAGCACTACCAATAGCATCTTACGCAGCGGATCCAAGTTTCGTATTCTTATGGGTAGGAAGTGGGGCTGGTGAAGGTCTCGAACGTGGACGCGAAATCCTTGGGAAGTGGGGGTATAGACGGTGTGAAGATATTTGTTGGGTTAAGACGAATAAAGAAAGTAACAAGGGGCCGGGTGTAAGTTCAAGTTATAAACCATATTACTTCAACTAATCAGAAGAGGTAGACCGACCCACCGACGACGTCTTTGCTCACAAGGACGAAACAGCACTGCTTAATGGGAATCCGAGGTACAGTTCGTCGGTCGACTGATAGTTGGTTTGTACATTGTAACGTCGGTGAGTCTCTTATATCTTAAATTGCATATACCCCAGAGCTCAATGGAATAATGGCATCTATTATCATCTTAACAGATACGGATGTAATTATCTGGGAAGGAGACCCCCAAGACCCCACACGCAAGCCACCCGAAATGTACCAACTAATCGAGAACTTCTGTCTTGGTACCCGTCGTCTCGAGTTATTCGGACGATATCATTCCTTGCGCCGAGGTTGGGTAACAGTCACCGCGGATGAGCTCGAGTTGACTCCTGCAGAAGCCCGAGAGAAAGATGATGCCATGCCGTTTGATCGAGAGAGATGGGAGACTCAAATTAAGGAGTTCGCTCAGGGAGGGAAGTGTGTTGTACCAAACTCTTCAGGTAACCATATCCTCAATGAAATATACCAAAAAATCCAAGAGTCTGATTTTCATTTATCTCAGAAATCGAGAGTTTACGTCCAAAATCTCCCGCACCCCGCGGTCCCGGCGGACAAACTAGCGGTGATCGAACCGTCAGCAACCCAACGCTCTCGGCAGTACCAATGACAGGCTCGCCAAACCTTCCTAACAACCCTATACGTACGTCGAGTAGCATGGGTGGAACGAGTGGTGGAGTCAGCTTAGGCGCTTCACGACAAAGTGTTAATCCGCAGATGATGGCTCAATCGATGAATAATATGAATGCTATGTCGTTATCTCAGGGTAGCATGGGCGTTATGGGAGGAAATATGGGAGGAAATATGGGAGGGAATATGGGGAATATGGGTGGAGGTATGAACGGGAACATGGGAGGTATGAGGAACATGATGGGAATGGGTATGGGAGTCGGAATGGGAATGGGTTCGGGTATGAATATGGGCGGGAACATGAGTGACGCGATGATGAATACGAACCCAATGGGTATGTCGATGAACCCGATGAACCAAATGATGGGTACGACCGGGCAGAGTGGGATGGGCTTTGGTAATTACGATAGGTCGGGTGGAGGACGCGGAGGCGGAGGAGGGGGAGGACTTATGCGACCTGGAAGTGGGATGATGAACATGAATATGGGTACATCTGGGATGAACCAAATGAGCCAGATGAACCAGATGAACCAGATGGGTCAAATGGGTCAAATGAACATGGGCATGGGTATGAACCCACAAGGTTACGGAGGGACTTACGACTCCGGTCAAGGAGGAGGATTCATGGGCGGCAGAATGTGGAATGGTGGTGGCGGAGGCGGCACGGACGAGCAGTCTGGAATGAATAACATGAATAACATGGGGATGCGTATGGGAGGTATGGGTATGAATTCTGGTATGGGAATGGGTCAGGGAATGGGTGGACAGGGAATGCGACAATGGCGAGGTGGTGGCTATTAGATGTTTCTTTCTCTTTTGGGTACTTATGTAGCTATCAGTACGTTCTTACTTTCTCATTGCCCGTGTATTGTGCATTTGTATGTTATAGCGTTTGCTCTGCATTCAATTCAAGCCTTGTTGGTACATTTATCCATCGAAGCCTCTTTGCTAAAGGGCCTTGTGAAGTAAAGACATCACATCTACCGGTATATTGTCACAGTAGCGAACAAAACACTGGAATGCAAGTTAACTTTTAACTCTACATTTCTCGGAAATATTAATGTGAATGTGAAATCAAGCTTGTTAGCAACGCGGGTATACTGAAATACAAGTGTGACTGTCCATATTTATCACAACTAGGCCTGAAGGAACCAAAACCGCTGGCCCAAAGAATGAAGACATGAATACAAGCCCACTAGTCAACCACACTTCCAGTAATTCCACCATGCATTTCTTGTCCCATACCATGTTGCGTGTGCCTAACTCCTGTGATCTCCGACCCAACGTCGGAAGCATCTTAGCAGCGACCAACGCTGATCCGGAATTATATACATTCCACCCTTAATTCCAACTAAACAATAAAATGGAGTACACATGGAGCACCAGCATGATGCATCATCGATTATGAACATCCCTTGCTGTGAATTTAATATACTTAAGTTCCTTTCGGCCTTTTATCGGTCGGCGCGTTTCTTATCGTGCCTTGTCTAGCTTGGGACTAGTTACTCTCGCCAAGTGCCATCGGTCGCTTGGTTTCTCAAGTCTTGGACTCGGCTGTCTATTTCATTTAATGACTCTTATTGGATAATAAAGACGGATAATAGTTATCTCCGCGTTTATCTATCCCCTTTAATAGTCTTGGATAATTTGATATAAAATTCGGAGTATCTTCATGAATTGGATAAGTCGGGCGCGAGCCTTTTCCTCTGTCAGAATTCTCGACAGCCGGATGAAATTGATGTGCTTTCCTTTCGGCTCAACGAAAGGAAGAAATGTAGAGTTACGGAAAACATTTCAGTGGCAATTTAGTCTGTACCACTAGTGCTCGGGCTTACTTATTCCGACAAAGACACGGGATTCGTCATAGTTATTACATAGTGGGTGAGGTAGCCTGGAATTCACACGCTATTTCAATCAGTTATTTATTTGTTTATTTTACTACCCCTGTGGCCAAAAAAGATAAGATTTCCATGTGCAGCGTCCCTAGCGCCGATCGCGCCATCAGGCAGATCAGTGGATCAGTAACCGTCGTGTGTCCACCTCGTTCCTTTCGGCCATCCTTATTTGGATAGGTCTCCTTCTGTGCCACCACTACTTACTTGTCAATGCCAGTAAACTTTCTCTCAATGGTGAGTATTTAATGAGTTCTCTTCCTCAATTCCGAGGAGACTGAGAATGAATTCTATATTTCATATGTTTTTTAATTTCTCCGCTTTTTGATATACTGTACGCCGAGGTCATCTTCCTTAGCCCCTTTCTCACAAGATTGATCTAGCGGCGCAGCACGGTCTCGGGTTCTAACTAAGTAACTTCAGCAATTTCAACTTAGGCTCGGACCTTCGCTCGCTCGATCGCATGATTGAGCGAGATTAATCTTGATCGTACTGTTTACCAATCTACAATAAATAGCATAACACAACATAAACAAGATTGTGAGATTGTATCCATACAAACCACCCGATCCTCTCAAAATGTATCAATGTGCAGATACCGTACTGACTAACTAGACGCCGGGGAGGTCGAGAATGACGTGGCTCCCTTGACATGCGTGGTGACAAAGTATTTAGCAAGGCGCCTAAAGTAATTCATACTATTATTATTATACACTAATCAGTACCCTCCTCGGATCCGTCCGATCCATCAACTCCTCGAATCATGGCTGCGGTGGTCGTCTTGACGAGCATCCCAATACAAGACGGAAAAGGCGCCCAGATTGACGCTCAAGACAATGAGCGCTGCGCAACTACATAATTCGATCATTCGTATTCTAGAGTCTAGACTTAGGGGGGCGTGCATAGTAACATACTGTACGCGTTGTATGAATTGTATGACTGCATCGCTTCAAGTTTCCGCATCCTGTCTCTGAATCTCCTACGAATCTCCTCTAATCTAACTTAACACGCAACATCCCTATCACCAAGCAACTAAGTAAAGAAGCTAGGCACATAAACGCTACCACCATTCACTACTCATACTCATACTCTTATTATTATAATTTACATACACACAACCAAATTAAATCCATACGATGCTCGTCATATATTCACCAAGACTTTTTGACAATATTACTACATAATACGCTATATACTGTAACAACGGATTGGCACCTACGTTTTGTTTTACGCAGAGGGAAGAGAAACAGCGACGGTACGAAGATTAGGGGAGAGTCGGGAGAGTCGGATATGAGGAAAAGGGGAAACAACTAGTAAACAAAGCAGCTACACAGGGGGGTGAGGGAGGAGTTAATAAATCAGCGTCCGTCAACTATGTTACTATGTACAATAACACGACGCTGGGCCGTCGAGAGCCACCATTAGGTGAAATGCGTAACGGACAAACAAAACGCATGCCAGGGAATTATTATTGATGGATGATTTCGTATAGAGGTAGGTGTAATGTATGAGGAGATCGGAAGGATTTGAAGAAACACAAAGGGAAATGAGAAACGGGACAGGTGAGAGGAGAGGATAACAAACACAAGATACGTGAGTGGGAAAAAATCGGGAGAAGGGATGGGCAGCCAGGCACAAGACATGAATTCAAGCAAGAGGTAAGGTAATAGAGATCATTAAGAGATTAAAATGATGTAGATGTAAGTAATGAGCCGGCCAATGATGATTAAGTGGGAAGTCAAATGAAGAATAAAAAAAGAGAATAGAACACAGACAGCAATTTGACATTCATGCATTATTACGGAATACCGTAAAGTAGGAGTTGCGGAATTTTGCGAAAAGAATTGAAATAAAAATCGGAATCCGATCCAAGATGGACGCGGCCACAGCAAGGAATAGAAAGGGGCCTCATGAGATTGATGGTGGTAGCCTGATGGTCCACCCGGGTGCCAGGAGAAGGGCGCGCGGCGCGGCGATCAACGCGGAGGCGCGCTGCCACCACCGCCAAATCAGTTCCCATAGGAATATGACTGCTCCGGATACTGTGTGGACCCGTTGAGCGTGTTCATGTCATAGTAGCCTGCGGTCGGTGCCGATGTGTCCGCCACAGACGTGTACTGCCCTTGCCGCGCAGAGTCCGGGTAGACTTCACCCGTGTAAGCCGGGACGCCCGTCGCAGCAATAGACGAACCGTCAAACCCATTGAGGGTAGCATCAAGTTCAATCAAAGACCGAAGATCATCTGGATACACTGATGAGCCAGCAGGGGAGTTCGTCTGGGTAGCAGGCGTTTGTTGCGCATAGTCGAGCTGTGATTGGTACGTCGCTGGGCTGGAATGCTGAGATCCATTTGCTGCTGCTGAACTATATTGCGGGACTGGGTACGGATGATACACGCGCGAAGCAGCGGCACCCGGTCCGAGTGGGCTTGCATCAAGCGTATTTGCAGTCATCGGGCGACGAATTTGCTCTCCCGACCGTGCAATCGTCGGGGTTACGCTGCGGTAGCGGCGCACCGGTCCGACAGCACTTGCAGCCAAATTCTGAACTCCCGCTGATGGCGGATACAAGGCGGCATGGTCGAACGTTTGCTTGTGCGCAGGAGCCGAAAGCGAACCCGCTGATGATGGCGCGGCAGTAGCATTGGCCACCATGTCATTCGGAGCAGAGTATGCAGCTGCCACGGTACTGTATGAGGTCGTGTAACGAGATGACGGAGCACTAGCTGTGCTGAACGCCGGTGACGGGTGCGAAGAGCCATAGTCATAGCCAGCTGGCAATGATTGAGAATGACCATGTGTTGCGGTCCAACTTTGCTCGTCATTCAATCGGGGCGAGTTCTCAGGACTCATCACTAGACCTGCGAACTGTGGAGTCCCTGCACCTGGATAGCTGTAGGACCCAGAGCCGTTAGAAGCATTCGCGTACTCATCGTCCTCAAAGCGCATCCCGGCATTGTCCACAACCTCGATTTCGCACGCGTTCAAGTCGTACTGCTCACCCGGTGCGTACATAACCTGGTCAACACCTTCATCACCCTCCATAATGCCTGTGGGTACAACATCATTGAGTCCACCATCGCGCGAGTGAGTGCGCATGTGCTGGCTAAGATTATCCGCACGTGAAAAGCGGCGCTGGCATATCTCGCACTGGAATGGGCGCTCCATAGTGTGCATGCGAACATGGCGCTTCAAATGCTCCAACCGCTTGAACAGGCGTTGGCACGAGTACAAGGGACAGACGTATGCCTTTGTCTTACGTCCACCAGCAGAAGCATCAAGACTTGCCGGGAGCGAGTTACTGTGAGCGGGAAGTCCACCCAATGCACGTCCAGAAACCTGACGCGAGCGAGGAGTAGCATGCGTGCGCTGGCTCAACATCGCAAGGTGCTGTGCTTGAACAGCACGTTGACTTTCTGCTTGGCGCTGTGCCTGTAAATGTCGGCCGGCACCACCACCAAGTCCCGCCTGAGCTTCGAACATCGCTGCAGCGCTCATTTGACCGTCCACGTCCTCAATGATATCATTAGAGCCATTGGCACCTGGCGTCTCGCGCTCTTCCTCGGAGACAGAGTCCCGAGTAAGCCCGCTTCGTCCTGATCGCGGTCCCTTCTTGCGACGTTGCTTGTAACTCGGGCTACCTTCAAACAGCGAGAACATGTTGAAAATCGTGCCTTGGGATGCACCATCGCGCTCAGAGCGTGATCCAGTTGCCATCCTGCGAGCTTCGGTTTCCTGTTCCATAGCCATCGCCTCTTCGGCGCGACGCACGGCCGTTTCAAGCTCTCCTTCGCCTTCTTGCGCGCCTTGTGCTTTCGAAAACTGCTCATACAATGACCGTTTACTGTCATACGTAAATGAAAGAGCGGGTTCACCAACAACGTGTGTCGTCGGCTCAAGGCCCATCTTCTCGCGTTTCAAGTCACGCTCGAGCGCATCGAGAAACAATCGGTCGTGCGGCACAGAGAACCTGCAGCGCCACGGGGGATTCGATGACAATGTGCGGAAGAAGTTAACACGTGCACGGTGATAGCACATAGCGATGCAACACGATGCGTCGATCAGACACCATCGGGGCACGAGCAAGTGAGGGAGAATACCAATAAAGGAATAAGAGAAAGTTTAGTCAGTAACAACTCCAGGATAATTCATCGTGAGATGATAGGTATGAGACGGCAGAAGCCAGCAACGTAATGATGAGGAAAGGGGTAGAAGCAGCGGTGAGGTAGGAAAGGAATAGCCGAGGTCGGGACTACTGATGCTCAAGATGATAGTCGCGATCGGAAACGCCGCCGAACGTGCTCACCACCGCCGCCGACGTGAAAAAGGCAAAGCGCATGGGATAAAGTAGGGGGAAGGGTGGCGAGAAGCGTGACGAAAGAGTTGAAAAACGTACCAGTAAAAGACCTTCTGCTTCTTCTGTGTCCTGATGCATTGATACTTGAAGAGAAGATCAAGGAAAGGGGACTGCAGGTGGTTAGAACGTAGTTAGTCATCCGTTTAGCATGTCTCGTGTAGAACTAAATGAGGAAGACACCCTCCGGCAATAAGCACCGAAGGTCATGAGGAATGAAAGACGACAAAGGATTGGTCAATGTGAAAGGGAAGATACCGTCGAAGCATGGAGTAGACCAGAGAAATTGAAAAATACGACCACTTAGAAGGGAAAGAAAGTGGCCGCGTAAATTGAAATTGCCAGTAAAAAACCTCAAAGATTCGACCGGTGAAACTGCTACTGAGGCTTGAGTGCTGCATGGCATGTCCACAGGTACCATCCAGGGTAACAAGGGAAGAGAAGAAAGCAATATACAATCTTCACCAAGACAATTGATAACCAGGCAAAGAAGCAGGAGAAAAGGGGGGAGAGCGTGAACAAACGAAGACCGGAACCGTACCTTTGGCTCCTCGAGGCAAGCATCTGTACCCGGCTTGAGGTTGCGGAGGTCTGAGAAAACACCCTCTTCGAACTTCTTCATATTGCGCACCGGGCGGCCTGTACCGAGCACAGTCGTCCATAACAGTCATTGGTCGGTAGTCCAAGTCGACATTTGAACATTGGCATTCCATGCCAGTTCATTCATTAGATCCATCCAATAAGCAGAATCCATTATGCGGGTACCATTGGTGAGTGGCAGTCACGAGGCATACGAAAGCGGAAAGAACATTGGTGCGTGTGAGGGGGCGATAGGTAGATGCCGGAACGAAAATAGGAAAATCGAAGGCAACGAAGATGCGGGATGGGGCGGGGGTGCGGAGCACCAATGGGTAATTCCAGACCAACCCAATCCGATAGGGTGTGACCGAGCACGTCGAAGCCGAAGCCGAAGCCGATCGAGCGACGGGGTCGAAGTGAAATTATCGGATGAACAGATGGAAGAACAGATGTATGATGGAGGCGTTGACGTTGGCAAGAAGATGCGGTTCGAAGGTCAATATTACAAATGACCAGGGTTAGCAGGACGATCGATACCGTATTAAACACGAGAATTGTAATATTCGCAATTTCAGAGAAAAGCATAATTTAGTCAGCCAACAATCCTAAAGAAAAGCAGCGAGAGGAGAAAATACGCACCGAATGCCTCAAATCGAAACACAAGTGCACGAACAATATCCGTGCCTGTGATATGGTACAGTCCCGACCAAAGTACACAGGTCACATACTCGCCTACAAGCACAGTGCAAAACTCTGTCAGTAAACCGTCCGAGGACTCATGGAAAGAAGAGATGAAGCGATAATATCAAGGCAAAATTGCAGCGAACAATCCGCTGCAAGAACAAATTGATCAAATCAAATCACTCATATCCCCTTTCACTAGTTTGCCAGGAACGCATACGTCACATATGCCTCTGGATGACTTATCAAAACTCTGGGCCACCAATTTTCCCCAAAAAAGTCTGCAATGTTGGATGTACGTCACCATGGTGAACGGGCCCCGCACAACATGAGTCCGCGGGTACCCACGACGCCCTTCCCCTCCGACTTGCCAAGTCGGAGATGAACCCATTACAGGCAAAGTTTAGGTCAACGAAGTCTAAGTGCAATGACGGAGGAAAAAGCAAGGTCGGGCAAAGCTCCCATAAACTCAAATCATCCTTGCCTGGGAATGCGAAGATTGGTTCCGTATCGGAGGCAGAGTTGCCACACGGGCGAATTTGACGGTAAATGGTAGAGATTCCCTCAATATGCACGATTGGCCGACGACCGTGAGTACGTCCGGTCGCAGCGACACAGACTTCAACGCGTGTAAATCGCGTGGTCCGTTTGTTGCAGTAAAAGCACGGCGGATCGTCCATCAAGTCGCCATGGTAAATGAAATCCTCCCACAGAAAAAAAAGTGAAAATGAAAGGGAAAAAAAAACAATAAAACAGAAACACAAAGAGAACCAATTCCTCACCAGATGGCAGCAAGAAGCGATTCAATGCAGGATGAGTGTTCGGATGCGGCATCATTGGTGTGCCCTGCTGTGCTCGTCCAGCAGTTAGAGCTCCGTTTCCAAAAGAGCCATCATCACCTACACCGTCACCGTCGGCGGTTGCCCAACGGCTTGGGGCGGTCGCCAAGAAGAACTTGAGACGGTCAAGATGCGCAAGCATCTCTTGCTCCTTGTGCGTCAACGGTCGTGAGAGGGGAGTACCGTTGACCATCACCGGGTTTGGACTCCCACTTTGATGTGATGAAAGAGTGGAGGTTGCGGAGGCAGGAAGAGAAGCAGGTTGTGGTGGTGGTTGGGAATGTCGAGGAGAGGAATGGGCACTTCCTGACGCCGATGAACTCGATGAGTGCGAGTGAGGGTTGTTCAATGGACGGGATTGCTGAGCCGACGCAGAGACAGCATTAGAGTTTGAGGGGAAGTCCTGGGAAGCGCCGGCATCAGGGGACGAACGCATGCTGTTTCCCGCGCTGTGGTCACCAGCAAATGCACCACCGAGCGCACCATCGGTTCCTTGGGTCGTCGGCAAGTTATACCCTAGCGCCTGCGACTCAAGTGCGGTAAAGCCGGAGTTGCTGGCGCTGAACTGCGATGCGTAGTCATATGAAGGGTAGGCGGGCGAAGGGTAAGCAGAAGACGATGCGGATGATGTCGACTGCAGCTCGGGGGTGTAGTACGACGCAGCGTAGGACTGCTGCTGGTACTGTGCGTGCGGGGCTGGATGATTGCGGGTGTCGTACGCGTCCATCATCGCGCGGGCCGGGGTCGAAATCGTGGTCGAGTCCAGAAAGGGAGGGTGAATTATATTTGTACTAAAATTCGAAGCTGTATATAAGCAGAAACCGGGGTCGTACACGAGAGAGCGTGTGTGTGCTGGTTATTGATTGATGCTGAGTGTAGTGTATAGAGTACACGGAAACAACCAGGCGGGGGAGATAAGTGTCTCTGTCTCTCTTTGGAGTCCTCCCTTGATTACAGGCCTCTTCGTCGTCTGAGCGCGAGGGCTAGCTATTAGTCGTATACCGTTGGATCGATTTGCAGAGCGAGAGATGGGGAGAGAAGGATGTTGATGAAGAGGCTGCAGAAACAGATCGGGATGGTTACGGAGATTTTGCAGGAGTCGAGCGACGGACGACTGGAGTGACAACGAGGCTGATGGGCGCCGAGGAGGACGTGGGGAGTTGTCGGGAGAGGAAGAGAAATTATACGAAATTAAGGACGAGAAATAGGTAGATGATGGAAGGAGGAAAGAGAGCACAGGGAGGGAGACGGACTGGGAGAGGGAGACGATGTAGCACAGGTCACTCGCGGGATCTGATTTAGTTTCTTCACGCGGCGCTTGCCGAGTACAGTCTCCTGCCAATTTCGTCCTCCAAGCCTTTGCAGTTGTACGATCTGGGGCAACTATAAAGGCCTATCAATAGCCAGCTTTGCACCTGTAAAACATCCCAGACTGCAGCTGCGAGCATCTATGGCGTAGTGCTCGGCCCACTAGGCTGCAAAAAGTGTATTATGTTCTTCCGCCGTCCCATCCTTCTGGCAAAGCTCGCTCTTTGCTAAATTTATTTTAAGAAAACATCCTCCTTTAACATAAGTCTGATAATCGACACCTTTGCTCGCCACCCTCTTCCGACGACCATTAGGCCTCCAGCGTTCTCAGATACCCGTCACCGACGGCGAACCTGCAGAGATCCCCTCCCGGCTAACTTTGCTCGTACAAACAGAGGAGATCGGTCAGCGCACGTGCTCTCCACTTGGGCGCTCTTTGCGGGTATGGCAAACCTCCGGAATCTACTCAACAGAGTGTCTGCCCGCTGGACTCGCAACTGTAGGCGCAACAACGCCCCCGTCGACACTGCCAGCCAGCAGAATAGAGCCTGTCACACCCGAGTGGCTCTCAGCGCATTCTTTTTGGACCCTTCCCGCCCAGTCATCACCTAAATCAATGGCATCAAAGATCGGCGGTCTCCCTCTCTACAGCTCTCATCACCCGCAGTACGCTCAACTGCACCGCAATCCCCTCCCCGGCCCTCGCCGTCATCCCATCATTCATTTTTTCCTGTTTGTTGTTCATTCAATTTCGCACACATCCATTCCTCGGCCTGATCATCCATTTCTCGCCTTCGGGCATGTTTAACTGCGATATGAATATATATCCCTTTTGCCTCCGCTCATCATTATCAGTCCGCTCTCACCGCGTCCAGGGGAACCAGATTCAAGAGCCAGAGTAATTCGGACCGCTAAACCGTCCATCAAATCATGCACATGCTCAATGCGCTCTCTTCGTCATAGCATACAGAAGTTAGGTACGTCACGCTAAACCGGATTTTTGATCTCCAGGCTAATAGTGGGCCACACCCAAGCGTAAGCGAGAGAAGACAGAAAAAAACAAGGCACGAAGGAGTCTATACGAATAAGGAAACGCAATAAGCGACGACCAAGCCAAACTGTGCGGCGCCCTCCCTCCACCTGCTGTGAATGGGCGGCACCAAGTGGCAATGGCCATCGTACAAACATACGCATGCATACAATTTTCGTACCTCACAGCTAAGTTATAGGAAGAATAAAATTGCGATGAAGAAAGATAAAGAGAAAACAAAAACAATATACCGCTCACAGGGTCGCCAGTCAAGTCCGTCCATCCGTCCGAATATCTGCGAGCTCGCCGGGAAATGTATGTTCAGCAGCGTGGCGTGTGCGTTGAGTGCGGAGTCGGCCCCGTGTGTGAATGGCTCCCTACCCCGAGCCCCGGAGCCCGAGAGGTACAGAAAATCAAGGGCTACTCAGCAGCAGCAAAGTCCGTCCATGTCCGCTTTTCTCGGAGTACTAGACGACGCCGCCCACTGAGTTGTTGGCCCTGCACCAACTACTCCAAGAAAAACAAAAAATAACAAAAAGAGTGTTTACCTCCGATCGGAGGTTGACTATTTTCCATTATTATGTATAAGCTATCGGGTGTGTAATGTCCCTCTCGATTTTCTGTGTTGAAATACATATTCATACCGCTACGTGACATTGCAGCTGCAACTAAGAAACTATCCTGGTCACACCGTACCATAGATTACAGACGGCAAAGCACTCGGCAAGCAACCTCCAGCAATCCCACAGATCACGTCAGATCTGAACGTCGGCTTGCCGCTTCCTCGAAAATAAACGCTTTCAACCGCTTCGACCAATCGAGCCAGATCCACTCATCACGATCAACTCCTCTCTTCAGGCTTCTGGATCCATCAAGTCAAATATGAAGTACCTTAGTAAGCCTTCTCCGGGGTTCAAAGAATCCTGCGGAGGAGAAGGGAGGAGATTGCACATGAATATGATACAGGTGATCGATTGTAAGTACGGATGATTGCCTTCCCTTACGCCTTATGCTAGTGGGAAGCTCGACTGAGGTTCCGTGCATTGGTGCATGTGTCATTTCAATGTGTTAGGTGTGTTCCCTAGCTTCCCTTCCCCTCTTCTCCAACTCGATCAAGTAAGTCAATGCTAACCATCCACGTTGTTGTTTACCACAACTTCCCCGCATCGGAATAATGAGATCTACAACTCTACAACCCTGCAGTTATTTACTAGAGTTAGAATAGTCGGAGAGTCCCTTTCTTTCCCCGTACAGAAGACCTCTCCCTCTTCCAGTTTGCCTCCGACGAGATTCAAGTAGCTGACTAAACTGCAATCGGCCATCCGGCCCATCCCACACGGCGATCACGTTGATCTGTCGATTCAACCAAAGAGCAAACAGAAAGATGACCGCCCGCCCACAACCTAAAGGGTCAAGGGGACGAAAGAGAATTAAGCCTAACTGCAGGTCACCGTCAAACAACACAACAGAACAGTGCCACACACTAGACGTCCAGCGGGGGTTGGTGGGACACATGGGCTGCCACCTCTAGGCTAACGAGTAAAAGAACAGCAGAAAAAGAAGTCCATACATCAAGATCATTCGAAGCACACGAAACTCAATCTTCCTAGTCAATTTTTTGTCCCTCAGCTTCCCCCATCATCGCTCGCGTCCATACATGTATATTTTTATGTTTATTTCCCAAGCGAGCCTTGATCGACACGGAACCACGGATATGGGCGCTTTTGGTGTTGGAGGTATTTCACGAGAACGTAGAAGCCACGCTAGAACATCTTGTTTCCCCGAAATCCCACGTGGGTCGCTTATCTTCCCCTTCTAAGAATAATAGAATATTAATATTTAGATTATGATTTATATTTAATTTTGGCGCTGTGGGATCAGCAAATTACAGTTGAAAATGTCTTATTGCATCACATCATAATGCATAAATGGCATAATGCATAGACTTTTGGCCAGACCAAAACTCAGGTCCTCAGCCAAAATGTATTGTCATAATGCATAAATTGTATAATGCATTGGGTTTAGCCCTCTCCCGACGTTATGCAATAAGACATTTTCAACTGTATATCTTTGTCTTCGTTCGAATATCAAATACTGATCGAAATGATTACTGCAGCCTTATTTTTTTCTTCTGGGTATTCTCCACACTTACTCGGAAGCCCTTGGTTCAATAGAGATTCGATTATTTTCACATGTACGGACCTTCCCGTCCTTATTTTATAGCCACGAGGGCAATGCTCGGCAAGAAAGTTTCCATTTCTTTGAACTTCTTATTTCAATTTCAATTTCAATTTCGAGAGGAGATAGCTGCTAGCATATACTGATAGAAATTGCATATATATGTCAAGTTGATATGTCATCGCAAGGCCAGCCCAGACGTGGGTGGACAGATGGATCGAACTGCAGATGAACGGTCTGCACGGGTTACAATGCACGAGCGCTTGGCGACTTCCGAAGTTTTTGGAATTCGGCAAGCGCCTTTTCCTTTGATAACTCACTGAATCTGAGTTAATTATTAAACATTTTGTTGATGTTGTAAGAAAGAATAGTTACCTTTTGCTTTCTAATGCATTGGTTCTGCTCTCGGTAATGGCGAGGAGTCATACAGTTCACGATTCATGTAGCATAGCATGCGGATTTTTGATTCAATCCTTTCTGATAGCTTCTTGCAATTGATTATGATTTCGACGATGACTATAAGTCACTCATACTCATCATGTATACCCTCGGAACTGATCGGTCTTTCTATTCCAAGGTCGCCTCGTACACTTCAGCATGACACATTGCGCCATGAAGTCCCTTCTTGCCACTCTATCGGCCTGAAAGTTCCGCGGTCAGTGGCGCTTCTGCAGAGATTCAGAATCAAAAGGAAGCGGAGCCGCCAGTAACCGGACACTTACGATATCGGTAAACGGTTCCAGACCAAGGCTATGCTCCGAATCACCAAAGTAGCTGATGATGGTATTTGAAAATAGTACGGAAGTGGATGCAATGAAGTTAAACATGCTACTCTTTTTGTCCACTGTTCCGCTCATTGTGCGAGAAGGTCGGGTCGGTGAAAAGTTTAAGAGGTCGGTGAGTAAAGGAGATATGACTGGACTCGTCTTCGTGCCTAAGTGTGTTGTTATGATGGATGATAAGTCCGGAACGTGTACGCCGCAGCTATGCATTCGGTTCCGCGTCGAGTTCGGAAATTGACTTTCCCGTCCGTTCGCTTACTCCCCCTCCGGAAATCCGAATGATTATGTTCCTATCAACTTACCATGTATTCTAAGAATGTACTTACCCTTTCATCTATAGATCCTGACATTCCGCGTCTCACCATTGGCACTACATTACGATAACTTCTGCTCCATACAGGAAGATAGCCAAGATACCGCTCGAGAGTGTATGAAAGGCGACACGTAAAACAGAAGTGCCGACGGAGACAGATCTGCATAGCACAGCGATTATCAACAAAAGGAGCTGCGAGTTGTTCCATGCTATACCATAGCATGCCAGATTACCAGAGGCACGGAGAAACGGAATCAAAATCTGCGTATAGACCCCAAGGCACACTTCATGCCTCAGATTCTGAGGATGCATCCGATCAACGCAAAGCATATTTTTACTTCCACGCTCTCGGATCCTTGGGTGGCGAGAGGAGCTGGTTCTCCATAGTTGCTTTGTAAGGTCTTATTTGCCTCCATTCGTCTCTGTCAGTGATCCAAAGGTCTTGTCATTGATATCCGTTCGCGCAGACAAATGAATTTGCGGCGAAGGTCCGTTCATCGCTCCTGAGCCGATGAAACGTGGAGTTTGTGGCGCACAGTGCAACAACGACGATGACGAGTGACTCTACAAACAAATGTTTACGCGACATCTTCTTGCGTCGTTATGAAACTTGTTGAGGCCGACGCAAGGAGCAGGACATTGATTCATAGAACGTGACAAGAATATTCCTATGGTCGATTTAAGGAGACAATTCGCGAAGGCCAGGCTTGGCTTCTCTCAAATTAGTAGTTAGTCGTTTACCAGTAGCATTCTAGTGAGAATAGTGTAACGCTGTAACCTTCATGTAGCGCTGTGAATGAAGTCGAGAAGTCAAGAAGAAGAGCGCAACTCATGAGTTGTTTCAATGTTTGCCACAGTTTGTACTGACATCTTGTATTTACAAATTTGGACACAAAAAGCGTCGATCATTAGCTCATCGTCACTGTGCACTTTTCATCTAAGTCAACGAGTAACTATCAACAGCAGTGCAGCAACTGCACGAGAGCAGAGGCACGATCATGTCTGGCTCAGCTTCAAAGCTTTCCTCACAACTAAAAGCCATCGCGCAATCCTGGCCAACAGATCCGTTCCGGCCGAACATGCAACTACAAACGTTCTTCCTCTCGCTCTCTACACACCCGCGTCTCACCCCAAGTTCAGTACGCGCTGTCCAGGAACTCCGCGCAAACGAGCTCGCGAAAAAAGTGAGTCGTCATCTTATCTGTGGCCCTCAGCCCTTGCTGCTATGGAGTATATATCTCTACTCCTCGGCTCAGCGAAATAGTTACCAATCTGCTCTTGTTCATTGTTCTTTGTATTTGTTTTCATTGACACTTTGACGGCGTTGTGCTAATCATGTTCTTGGTTTCTATGGTGTTTTCATCTTTCTTTTCCCTCGGCATCTCGTTATTCGTTCGCTTGGGTTTGGTATAGTACCCGTTGTCCGAGAAGATGCTCAAGCCGGCATCTCGACCGATGCATTACAACCAGATTGTTGAGGGTTTCCAGAAGAGTGCACAGGGCATTGCGCGGCCGTGGTGGAAGCGCTTCTTTGAAATTTGGTGATGGAGATGAGTGGCTGAAGGGGCTATGTACACAATCATAATTCATCTCATGCATTCATTTGCTGTAATTTATATCTTCCATATTTCTGTCATTGTTAATCAATTGACGTCGGCTACTGTTAATGATCTACCTGAACTTAGAACATGTTCATTTGCAATAACACTATAGTAATGATATGTATTACCCATCTAAAAATGAGTGGAAACATGTGAATGTTGGTTGAATGAAAAGAACTGAAACAGGAGAGATATAGTAACAGGGTTATTTTACTCCTCGAGGTACTCTTCCTCGCCAGCCCTCGCCTTGTCAACCAACTTCTTCCGCTTTTCCCTCACCTTCCGTTGCGATTTTACAAACCTTCCAAGTGGCGTCTCCTGAATCCTAACATCCCGTTCCCATGCATGCACAGCATCAATGTCCCTTGGTCCAAAAGCCACGTTCTTTCGCCGCTCTGACACCCACGTAGCTCCTTCCTCGATGCGCTCCAAAAGGCCCTTCACAACACCCGCTTCTTTCGCACCAGAAGCTTTTTTTAGACTGTGTCGAAGCGTTGCGACCAAAGGCACGACGAGCTCGGGGAATGCGATGCTCCCTTGCACGTGAGGTAATGCACACCATTCTGCGAGGAGAAATACGGCTTCTTCGAGGACGACGTTGTTATATATTCGCGTTCGCACGTATTGTGCGGGTGTGCGGAGATGTGTCTCCAGATCCAGGGGTCTGAGCGTTGAAGCTTTGGGCTTTCCGGAAGGAGACAACGTTGAGGTGATGATAGGTAGAAGGTACGGAGTTAGGGGAATATATGTTGTAGTGTGCCGCGAAAGGTGTATTAGCGAGCGTATAATAGAGAGGTGGAATGGGTATGAACGAGAATTCGTGATGAGCCTGTAACAAAAATGAGAAAGTAGAAAAGGTATATACAGGCAAGACGTACTTAATCGCACCGAGAGCGACTTGGATCAAAGGATAAATGAGAGCCTTCAAGCCGCTCTCCTCACCACGAACAGCCTCTGCCTCCACTTCGCAAGCTCTGGCAAGCACGATCGCCCAGAAATCGACGCTGTGAGCAAATTGCCAGTTGTATACCTGCTTGTACGCGTCCTGTGACAATAATAATGAGATAAAAATCCAGAGTCCAAAAGACAAGCGACTGGAAGGCTTCACCTTGCTCTTAACTTTCATACTATTCCTCAGGTGCACCGCGAGCTGTCGGATGTATCCAAATGCGAGTTGGTAAGACGCTGCATGGTCTTCACAATACAACTCAGATGCTGAGTTTTTCATGAGATTGATGGATGGAAGGTTGTACGCCGTGGTCGATTTTGCATTACGGAGTAAGGTGAGGTATGTATTCTAAACGGATGAAATTCGTCAATATATTCGCTCTGGCCTGACGCTGAGTGATACTCACTTTAAGCGCTTGATCTCGGATAGCTTCGTCGCTGGAGGATACCAATCGTCGAATGGCCAGGAATGCCGCTATGCGTACTTCATCCTCGGCGGATGACCAGAGTTTCAAGCATGTCTATCAAGAGTAACTATTTAGAGTTTGATATCGTGGATAAGTAAATGAGCAACCTTACTTTCAGATACAGCTTGACTGCCTTCCGGCTGGATATAACATACGGCAGGAGCTTCGCACTCTCATTGAGGGCGAGAACTAACGTTTCGCTTGCAGATAGTTGCTCGATGAGATGTAAGACATTATGGAAGAACGAAAGAATGAGTTTCTGGATAGTCTGAAGCTTTGGAGTCTGTGGCGGCGGTTTGCTGAAATATATGTCAACGAAAATAAAAGGCGATAAATAAAATAGTTTAACTAACAATTTTCCATTGGGAAGCTTTTTGTATGGGACATGGTGGTCGAGCACGATGGGCGTATATCGGAGTGCTGTGGTAACCAGCTTTTCGTAGACTGCGCAGTGCGATGTTCAGTGGCCAGCGTTTTATGAAACGGTTTGATATCCTACCTGACGGGCTGTCAATCGTCCATGCGAGGACTTCATCCTCCTCATTCATATGCGCGGCAGCACGAAATGCTATTAAAAGCCGTCGTAACGCACGTAAAGATCGATGCTGGGATTGAGGTAGGGTAAACATAAGATGTTGCCACGAAAAAAGGTGAACCAACCTCTAATATAGCCTTTTGCCATCTTTGAAGGATTTCCTTCGTAAGTGTTGGAGCTTTTATTTCCTCGTCGTCGTCAGCTTCCATTGCATCTTCACCCATATCTTCGTCTTCGTCAACACCATCGGGAACATCGAAGTCCAGCAGCTCGCGATCATTCTCTTGAAGGTACTTGTAAAATTCTGGGTCCTGCTGTGCCAGCTTCTTCAATTCGATCTTGTGGGCGCCTGCTTCATCTTCAAGTTCGTCGACCGATGCAAACGAAACATTGTCTTCGTCATTCTCGGAGGACCCGTTCTCTTCGGTGCCATCCTTATGAATGGGTCAGACCTTCGCGTATAAAAAGTATTTAGAACAGGCTTACATCAGAAGCTCCTTCCATGAATCCACCCCGCAGGAAGTCATCTACGCTCATTCCTTTAAATCTAGCGTATCGATCCGCATTATTGTCAGCTAATCCTGGAAACTCATTTAGCGACTCACTTTTCAGTCTCTTCGCCTGATATCTCCTCGTCAACATCCTCGCTGACGCCTTCCACGTCTTCAACCTCCATCCCTCGTTGCTCAGCCTCGCCGTCTATCTCGTTTAAGTTGGCAACTTTTCCCCGTCCTTTGGAACCTTTTCGCCATTCGATGTTCCGTTTCATTTGTTGATGCTTTTTGCGAGACTGAATTTGCTTTTTGAGCTGCCCACTTGCGGCATACTTTCGCGAAGCCTTATTTGCCTTCTTGCTCATGGTAGTGACCGGGCCAAGACCAGGAAGAGGTTCAAGTGGGGATTTCAAAGCTCAAAAAGTTGATGAAATGAGAGTTGCGTCGATCATGTACTTTGTATTATGTAATAACAATTTGGAGAAGACATAAATGCTCCAGCGCTGAAAAATATCTATGCAAACATAATACTCAAACTGTTCCAGTCCACAGGTTTGACTGAATTTCTAAAGGGACTAACACAGCCATTTGTGCTATGGCTCTCAGTGTTAGTTTTATATGTCTGGAACAGACTCGATAACTTCAAAACTGTCATCTGTGTCCCAAGTGTTCGTTCCTAGCTTCCGAATTTTGAGCATAATTCTTGCAGTTAGAACAGAGTGCATGACGTGAGTAATGCTGATAGGAGTTCTGATGTCAACTACGTGTGCTCTGAGGGACACAGAGTTGATACTTACTTAGCAAGTGTTGCAGAAAGGTAACCCTGCATTGTAAATTAACACACAGCTTGGCCAAATCAAAGTTAAGTTGCTTACAGGCAATGTCAAGATTACGAGTATGTTTGCAAACGAAAGTACTGTAACAGTATATGTATTAGGATTTAACAAATCCTGATAAAATGTTTGTCACAGACTGAAAAGGTACACATAGAACAGTGAACCTATATTATGGTCAGTATTATGACTACAAATAGTAGTGTGTCACTGACCATCTCAGTATACTGCTCTGTATGTATATGTACGCCCATGAACTCGGACTTCAAGTGGATGCAGTCAGCATGTTAAAAGTGTAACAATAGATGCAATAGTCTGAGTGTGCACACTTCTGAACAGCTTTTCATCAGGGGAAAGTCTTAAGGCTTATATTAGCTTATAAACATATAAATTATATAAATTTTCTAAAAAATATAAAAGACCATATATCCAACCTCTCAAAATGAGAAAATTATAAAAAGCTATGTAAGATACAAAAAGGTATGTACAAATTGTTAATATGAATAAGGTTTATAAGTGTTGACAATATGTAAATGAACTTATATCCAACCTCCTAAAATGAAAAGATATTAAAAGAACTTTGTATTTTAACAAGAGTAATGTAGTTTTATAATATATACAATCTAATGTAAAGCTTTCAAAGTACTTTGTATATTGTTAGATATTATTATACTTTATAAGAGCTTTACAAGACTTCAAAATTGTTATAATATTTTACAATCCAGATATTTATTTATTTCTCTTTTTTTCCTCTTATAATTAAGTATTTACATTTTAATACACTTGCATTTGTTCTATTCTACTACATTGTATTTTAATAATATTGTATTTACAAAACAAGCATGCAGACGAGCAAGAAGAAAGAAAGGAGGAAAGGAGAGTCCAGTTGTAGAGAATCATACTTTGGATATTTATCAAACCAGTCTTTGCCTAAGGGACAGAATTGTTAGTAAGTGCAGGCACCTGAAGTGAGGAGAGGGACACACCATGACACCGTGCAGGAAGGGTGGGTGGTGCACTGGGTTGAGATCCGGAGCGTCGAGCAAACTGATTTGAGCTACAGGCGAATCTGTATCTGTGCGTGCGTGCTGCATGCTCTTGCTACAGCAAGCAATAGAAGGTACGGTGTGCTGAGTCATTGATCGCGAGGGTGTATCTCTGGGACGTCCTGACGTGAAGAGAGAAGGTAATGTGGAAGTTGCGGACAGACTCAGTGCGGGCGGCGTGAGTGGTGGGTCAATGCTTCCGTTTAATGCGATTCCATGCCTGGCACAGAGGAATGCAAATGCACGCGGTGTGGGCCTATCTAGAGTAGTTTCAAGCACTGAACGTGTGGAAAAGGAGAGTGCATACCAGGTGAGAGAGAGAGTGGCACGACGGGAGTAGCCGTACAGGGACATTGTCGCAAGCGTGTGCTCATCGTTGTCGTCTGCGCTGCAGAGCGGGAAGAAGTACGCGAATGCATGGAATTATTGAAGAAGTCGTTTGGCATTGGTCAACAATGCGGATGCGCGCGCGAATGCAAAAAGGAAGGTGAACGTAAAAAAGTGAGGACAGCGAAGGAGAGGCAACGCAAATGGCGGAGCGAGGAGCGGGAGGGATGGAAGGGAGACAAAAAGTTGGGAGGAGAGGGATGAGCAACTATTGTGCAGGCTATTATGAAGTGGGCTGGCTGCTTACGCTTTACGCTGAAGGACGGTGTTGTCAGCTGGGTCGTGTCATTGCGAGATCTGAGGCTCAGCGCAGGCATCGCAGTGGCAGATTGGAGAGACAAGTACAGTAATGTTTGTTGCCTATGTCGTTGCAGG